AATTGAAATAAAGTTGTTAAACCTATAGATGTGATGGAGAAGGGTCTCTGATAGTCATGTGTTTCAAAAGCACACAAATGTGTGTAATAGCTTGGCTTGTTTTATTTGATCTTCATTTCTTTTGTGTGATGAACTTCTTTCCATTTGTTAAAAAACAAATCTGCAACATTGCATGCTTATGTTTCAGTATAAGGCAACTTTGTTAATTTAAAAAAAAAAACATATTACTGGGATCAGAAGATACCTCATAAGATAACCCCATCATCTCAGGATTCAGTTGAGTGATTCTAATGCCATGGATATCAGTGCAGGGGCCTCAAATATTTACAACCTAAATCAAAGACTTAAATGAAGGGGCCAACGTTATTGAAGCTAAATTCATTGATGAGGTGAAGATTGATATAAGCAAGTTGTGAAGAGGACAGAGTCTACAAAGGATATAAATTAAGAGAGTGAGCAATAAAATGTCAGATGGAGTATAATATGGGAAATAAAGTTGTCCACTTTGACAGGAATAGAAAAGCAGAATTTAAATGACAATTGAAAGATGCTGTCTTAAAGAGGGCATCCTTGTATACAAATCATAAAAGTTATAGTGAGTATAGTTAAAGCCAGTGAATAGAAAGGCAAATGGAACGTTGAGTATAAGTTTTGCTACAAATATACAAGGCATTGGTGAGAGTATCTGGAATACTGTTACATATTAACAATGAATTAGCAATAGGCCACTCAGTCTTTTGAGCCAGTTCTACCATTCAACAGCATCATGGCAGATCATTGACCGTGGCTTCAACTCCACATTCCTGCCTATTTCGACAACCTTAGACTCCTCCATTATTCAAGAATCTATTGACCGTTGCCTTAAAAAAAAAAAATTCAACAATCCTGCCTCCATTGCTCTCTAGGAAAGGGAGGTCTTGGAGAGATGTCGACCTAATGGCATTATCACCAGACTATTAATCCAGATACCCAGGCTAATGTTCTGGGCAACCAAGGTTCGAATCCTGCCATGGCAGATGGTGGAGTTTGAATTCAATAGTGATCCGGAATGAAAAATCTATTTGGGGGGGCGCAGGGGTTACCCATTTAGCTGACAAGTGTTCCTTAGGGAAGAAAACTGCGATCCTTACCTGATCTGGCCTGCATATGGCTCAAGACCCACAGCAATATGGTTAACTTGCAAATGCCTTTTGGGCAATTAGAGATAGGCAACAAATGCCAGCCTAGCCAGTGATGCCCACATCCCCTGAATGAACTTTTGTTTAAGAAAGTGAGCTCCAAAGATTCACAAACCACACACCCATCTAAGGGACATTTTCCTCATATGACTCTTAAACTGGATCCAGGTTGTAGTCTCTCTCACAGAGCATCTTTTCAGCATCCATCCTGTCAGGTTCACCTAGGATCTCATTTTTCTAAACTCCAATACAGACAGACCTAAAATGTCCAAAATTTACTGACTATAACCCCCAGCCCAGGTATCAAGTGAACCTTCTCCGAAATGCTCCGAATATATTTTTCTTTCTTAGTATGTAAAGAGATCCAACCTGTACACTACTCCAGATGTGGTCTCACCAATACCCCGTAAAACTGCAGCAAAATATCCCTATTTTTATCATCATACCCCTCGCAATATGTGATAATATGCCTTCCTCAATTACTTGCGGCAACTGGATCCCAGCTTGTGATTCAAATGCCAGGATACCCAGATGCCTCTGTAGCTCAGAGTTCTTTAATCTCTAGCCATCTAAATAAATTACTGCTTTAATATTCTTCCGAACAAAATGCAGAAGTTCACATTTTTTCACATAATACTCTATCTTATTCAAGGAGGGATATATTTCCATTCAAAGCAGTTCAGAAAAAGTTCACTAGCCTGATTCACGGGAAATAGATTTCTCGTGAGGCAGCCCTATGCTCACTGAAATTTAGAAGAATGAGAGGTGATCTTAATACATATATTCAGAAGGGAGTGGGGTTGTCAGGATAGATGTAGAAGAGATGTCTTCTTTCATGAGATACCTAGAACTAGAGGCTCAGTTTTACAAAAAGCATTTAAAGTAATCTTTATAAAACATTAGTTTGGCCCCAACTAGAGTTTGTATCCATTTATAGGCACTATATTTTATGAAAAGACTTTAAAGTATTAAAAAGAAAGCAGAAAGGATTTAAGAGAATATTCCAAGGATGAAAGTCTTCAGTTATAGAGTTGAGAACTTGGGCCTGGTCTCCATAGGGAAAGTTAAGAGGAAATTTGATCAAAGTTTTCAAAAGAGCAAGGGGCCAGGACAGATAGGGAGAAGTAGTTGCCTTTTGCTAAAAGGTTGAGACTAGAGGAAATAGATTTAAAGTGAATGGCAAAAGTACCAAAGCTGACACAAGGAGCTACATTTCTGGTGCAACGAATGGTAAGGGGTGCAGTTTGAAAGTGTGGAGGCGGCAAATTTATTTGTGGCTTTCAAAAGGGAATAGATTAATGATCTTAAAAGAAAAGAACAGCAATACTATGGGATAAAGGGGAAACAGGAAAACACAACCAGACAATTGACTCACATTGATAGCAGTGTGTACCATCTACAAGATACACTGCAGCAACTCACTAAGGATCCCACAGCAGCACCTTCCAAACCCACAACCTCTACCACTGGGAAAGAGGAGGGCAACAGACTTATGGAAATACCACACACTGCAAGCTTTACTCCCAAGTCAAACACCATTCTTCAGTGTCACTAAGACAAAATCCTGAGGTTTCCTCAGATGTGCACTGTCGCTGTTCTTTCACTATTCTGTTCTTGAAGAAGGCAACTCACCACCACGTCCTCAAGGGTAATTAAGGATAGGCAACATATGCTGGGCTAGCCAGTGACACCCACATTTGTGGATGAATACAAAACACTGAGCCATTTTTGCCGAGTTGCACAAGTTAGTTCCACCATCCCAGGAGAGAATCTGGTGAACCTCCACTGCACTCACTTTTGTCAAGTATATTCCCTTTCACCTTCACTTCTCACAACAACGTGCATAACCTCACTTGTCCAAATTACATTTGCCATGCTCATACCCAATCATCCTAAATTCCAACCCCCAAAGCCTCTTTGTATCCTGCTGACAACCTAAGTTGCATCTAGATTGGTCAATGCATGTGCTCTCATTTTGTTTACTGTGCAGAACCTTATTGAAAGCCTTCTGAAAAATCCAAATACACATCCACTGATTCCCCCTTAACCTCACTGCCAATAACATCTTCAAAAAAAAAGTTACAGATCTGTCAGACATGGTTTCCCTTTCATAAATCCACACTGCCTCTGCCATTTATCATTATTTTCACAAGTGTCTAGTCACCACAACCTTTCTGATAAATTCTAGTATTTTCCTGACTACTGTTGCCAAGCTAATAGGCCAGTAGTTCCCAGTTTTCTCTCCTCCAAGTTTTGAGATTACAGTCACAAACTTCCAACCCACAGACACTAATTGCGAATCTATAGAATTTTGAAAGATGAGCACCAGAGAATCACTATCAACTCCTCTTTTAAGACTTTGGTATGTAGAGCAGTGTCCGAGGAATTTGTCAAGTTTCAATCCTATAAATTGGACCTGTACCACTTTTTAACCGATACTAATTTTATAGCCATTTTATAGTATAGAACGTAGGCATTACTAATGAAAAAGTTTGATAAAAAAAGAGTTTGGTCAAACTTTTTCATTTTGTATATGTCAGTACAATTCATATGAATTCCAATGCAAAGCAAAAACATTTATATTGTATTGGTTGGCCAATGAAATCTGATTAGCAGTGGCATTGCTGTGGAGAATGCACCAGTTACTGATGATTGACAATTAAATGCCAAGCATTTTAAAATTTTAAACAAGACAGGTAGACTCTGATTGGTCAAGTTGTTCCCCTGAACAAAGAACCATAGAATAGCTATCATCTATTTTATTCAATTTAAACAGGAGTAGCATATGTTATTTCCATTTGCAAAAAATAGGGCCTGGTGTACCGAAATATAGCTTTTAGTATACAAAAATCAGGCTCATAGTAATGAAGCAGCACATATATACGTACTTTCAAGAAATTGGATTAAATGAAAATTGTGGCCTGTCATTGTATTACTGTCACCACTGCTAGTAATCCAGAGATCCAGGGTTAATGCTCTGAACATACAGTTTCAAATACAATCATACAGCTGATGAAATTGAAATTTAGTTCACAGTCTGGAACTGAAACCTAGACTCCGTGATGGTGACATACACCTGGTGAAAATCTGCTGTCCTTTACCAGTCTGATCTACAGATCCACAGCAATGTCATTTTTGCATAACTGCCCTCTGAGATGGCCCAGTGAGTCACACAGCCAAAGGATAATTAATGACAGACAACAAATGGCAGTGGTACCAATATCCCACGGAAGAACTTAGGAAAAAAATTAACAAACCCCTCAGATCAAAGAGAACAGCAACTTGAATATAAAATGTGTCATGGGACAGAAAGCAGAAATAGTAATGAATAGCTGGTTTATCAGATTGGAGGAGTGAAGGAAGGTGCTCCCCAAGGAATGGCATTAGGATCACTCCTCTTTCTGAGAATATATTAATGACCTAGACTTGAGTATACAGGAGAAAGTACCAAAGTTTGTACCCAAGCTAAAGTACTTTCAAGTGAAGGAGGACAGGCTGTTTACTTTGGCAGAAAAGCAAGACTAGACACGGAGACTTGCCATTTGGCAGAACCCCATTTGTGATCTCAGCAAGATGTTTTGTGCAGCAATTGTTGGATCTGAAATCTTCTGAGGTAGAAGCAGATTAAATAGCAACACGACTTCCCACTGTTCACCTTTCTCCCCCAACACCCACTCTCCACGCGCGTCCATTAGTTTCTGCCTTCCCTAACACACTCCACACTCTCCTTTCCCATCTCGCATTCAGTCTATCACTCACAAATCAGACTCTCTTTCCTCTCCAACTGGCATTTTGAAATGATCACCAGCTGCATTTAGCAGATATATTTTATTTGATTTTTTAAAAAGAGGATTTCTTTTTATCTCTCAAGTGTGAACTGTTTGACGCAGATGGCAAGACACTTCTTGCATCCTGTCAGTCACAGACACCTAGAGTTTATATATAAATCTCAATCTGATCCGGTAGCAGCATGTAAACAGGAGACACAATGTCTTCAGACTTGCATCTCCCTTGCACTCCCTTCCCCTCCTCCGCAGTCACTGCTGTCACCTCCGAAGACTCCGTTTGGCCTGTTTTAATAAAGTGTCAAAGTCTAAAGAGTCAAACTTGCTTTTGGTTGAATAAGAACTGAAGTCTGCATGACTGGAATCTGAAAGAGAAAATTTTCTCCAATTAATCTCTGACATATCATTAGATTCACCTTCAGTACATCCAGTAGTAACTCTGGGTTCCACTAGCAACTTATTACAGCCTTGGTCCAAACACAGACAAAAGTGCTGAACTGCAGAGACAGGGTGAAAATGACTGCCCTTGACATCAAAACCACAATTAGAACCCTAGAAGAACTGTACCAACGGGAATCAGAGGAAAACTCTCAGTGTGGCTGCAATTATACCTAGTACAAAGGAAGATGGTTATGGTTATTGGAGGTCAGTCATCTCAACTTCATGACATCTCTGCAGGAGTTCATCAGGGCAATGTCCTGGGCCAAAACATCTTCAGTTGATTCACCTAAGGCCTTCCTTCCATCATAAAGTCAGAGTGGGGATGCTCATAATTGCATTATTGATTAGTGCTCAGATACTGAAACATTTGCGTTTACATACAGCAGGATCTGGAAAACACTTGGGCTCGAGACAACACTTAGATTTGGGCTGAGTGCCAGTTGACATACAGCCCACACAAATGCCAAGTAATGACTATCTCCACAAGCTGCAAGCAGCTCAAGATGATAGTTCACCACTACCGTCTCCAGGATAACTGTGGCAATAAATAATGTTGGTTCTGCAGCTTACATCCTATTAATGGAAAAATAAAATCACCCCAATACAGGCAGAAGTGATACCACACTATTCATCCCTGATACAGCCAGGAGTAACCCCACATTCACCCACAATAGTGAAATAAATTATGTTTGCAACAGGACTGATGATCACACACTGTCCTTCCAGACATCCCTGGTCAATAACATTTTTTGCGGGGGGCGGGGGGGTGGTGCCACACTGTGGCTGAGTGCTTAGCACTTCTGCCTGACAGCACCAGGGATCTGTGTTTGATTCCACCCTCGGGAGACTGTCTCTGTGGAGTTTGCATGTTCTCTCCATGGAGTTTGCATGTTCTCTCCATGTCTGCGTGGGTTTCCTCCAGGTGCTCTGGTTTCCTCCCACAGTCCAAAAATGTGCAGGTTACGTGGATTAACCATGGGAAATGCAGGGTTATGGGGATAGGGTGGGGATGATCTGGGTGGAATTCTCTTTGGAGGGTTGAAATGGGCTCAATAGCCCGTTTCCACACTGTAGGAATTCTATGCATTAATCCGCTCCGATGCTGAGATGATGCTGGATGTGGCTGGAATGGAGGTAAAACTACAGGCCAAACTCCAATTTGCATTTTCTTGAACTCACCTAGATCTGCATAATTCGTTTTACAAAACTGCCGCCGGCCACCAAAACAGAGGTCAAAGGGCAGCTCATCAGGTTTACGCAACGTCTGTCCATTCTCAATAGCAGCAAATGCATCGCATGTGTAACGGTACGTGACAAACCCATAGTTATCTCTGAAAGGAACGTTCTCCAGTTAGAAAACATTAAAAAACCTAGGTTGACTAGAAATTCATGAGTTGCTAAACACAACGAAACATTAAATTGTACCAGATTTCAATAAAACAAAGAGCAGAGAAAAATCACAAACTGCACCCACTGCAGGCAAGCACATTTAGGGATGGGCAACAAATGCCTTGCCAGCCTCTCTGACATCCCATGGAAGAATTTAAAAAAATAAAATTTAGTAACAAGCCCCTGAAAGTAAAGAGAGTGGCAACTTGAATGCAAAATGTACCAAGGGACAGAAAGCAGAAATAGTAATGAATGGCCTATGCAGCTGGAGGGGAGTACAGTGCAGTTAGAAATGGTAAATAGATTTATTTTATTCACTTGTGGGACATGGGTGTTGCTGGCTGTTAGCATTTTTTGCTTGTCCCTAGTTGTCCTCGAAGTGGGTTGCAAGCTGTCTTCTTGAACCACTGCAGTCCAAGTGCTCCAGGTTGACCTACAATGCCCTAAGGAGGGAATTCCAGGATTTTGATCCAGCGATAATGAAGAATACATCTCCAATTCAGGGTGATGAGTGGCTTGGAGGGAAACTTGCAGGTGGTGGTGTTCCCATGTATCTGCTGCCCTTGTCCTTCTAGATGGAAGTGGTCATGGGTTTGGAAAGTGCTGTCTGAAGATCTTTGGTGAAGTCCTACCGTGCATCCTGGAGATAGTACACACTGCTGCTCCTGAATGTCGGCGGTGGCAGGGCTGGATGCTTGTGGATGTTGTGCCAATTAAGCAGTGTGCAAGCTTCGAGTGTTTTTAGAGCTGCACCCATCCAAACAAGTGGGGAGTATCCCATCACACTCCTGACTTGTCTTTTAGCTGGTTTTGGGGAGTCAGGTGGTGAGTTACTTGCTGCAATATTCCTAGCCTCTGACCTGCTCTTGTAGCCACTGTTAATGCAGCGAGTCCAATTGACTTTCTGATCAATGGTAACCTCCAGGATGATGATAGTGGGGGATTCAGTGACGGTTAACACCACTGAATGTCAAAGGGCGGTAGTGAGATTGTCTCTTATTGGAGATGATCACTGCCTGGCATTTGTGTGGCACAAATGTTACTTGGCACTTGTCAGCCCAAACCTGGATACTGTTGCAATCTTGCTGGTGATGGCCACAACCACAAAGAACAAAATAACTCAGATCATAAAGACCAACTGTATTGCACACAAGAGTCTCACAAAAGGTGTTTATGATTTCTGGGCAGGAAACAGCAAGTGTAAAATCACACCCCCCATTCCAGATCAAAATTCAGCAGGCATTAATCTTACCCTTCACTCCTGAAATAAATGTTGCAATCCTCAATTTCTCCAAACACTTCAAATCGCCTCCTCAGTTCCTCACGCAACATCCCATTCCGGATTTTCCCAACATAAACAACTCGCCGTTCCTCCTATTTGGAAATAGATCAGAATGTAACTTGAAATACTGTCCTTTCGCTTGGATCCACAGTGATACACACATTATTTACACCAATGGTCATCCGTACCCAGCTACTGATGTAGACTGAACAGCAAGGGGGGTGGAAAATAGGTGGTGATAACCTGGGTCATGGATTTGCTCCCCTTCCGCCAGCTCCACAGAGAGCAGGGAACCAGGGGTCAGGATCACCTTCCAACAGCGTGGGGAGGCTGGGGTCAGGGATCTTGTTTTGTAGGCTCAATCTAAGCTGAGCTGTAGTAGAAGAATACAGGGCTTACTATTGCGAGTTCCCGTCGCTGATTAATTCTTTGTGAGCGAGCCCTCGAGTATCGATGTCTTGGTTCCTCAGAAAAATCATCATAAGTATCTGTGAAATAACTAGAGAAACAGCAACAATTCAAATGTACACAGAACCTGTCAGCAGCAACAAACAGTGCATGAGGGTGATCCCACAGTCCCACCCTGGCACCCCATCATTCCCCACTGACACCCAGCCCTGATAGACAAGTCATCTTGACTGCTAGGTGTCCCAGCTCAGGAAATATCCTCCAACCCACTCAATACAGGACACCCTCCTGTGCATGTCAGGAACAACCCATTTTTGCTATTCTCCCTGCAGGCTCAGTGATTTGTTACCTCATATGAACACTGCGTCTTCGTGATGATCTTGATCTGGATCTAGATCCAGAGTCAGATCTTGAATTTGATCTTGAACATGATCTGGAACGTGAGCTCGATCTGGAATCTGATCGTGAACTATGTCGAGAATGACGGGATCGTCTCCTGCAATATCTGTTTCCAAGCAGAAAGGGGTTAATGGTAGAACATGAACAAAATCCCTCAGCTCTCCTTGCTGTAACTATCCCTGTTACAAAACAATGTTTAATGGTGCCCACGCAGAGTTGGTAAGAAAGACAATAAGCTCGAGCCAAAGGTGGTGAAAAGGCAATATTTCCAGAATAAAACTAACCTACTCTTGTTTATAAACAATAGCTCTATGAAAAACAAAGCAGAACAGGCTCTGGGTGTAACATTACTCCTGATTTTTACTCGAAGTCCAAAAGAATATGAGTCTCTCTTCATTATTTGCATTGCCCTGGACACATTTAGTCAAAGTTACAAAGACTTGCGTTTGACCAGAAGTTCCATCACCTCAAGACATTCAGAGTACTTACAACTATTGAAATTGCTTTGAATTGTCAGCATACAATTCATGGAGAATCCTACACACATTAAAGTGGAAATTACCCAATAAATGTCCTAGTGACATCAGTTGAAGGATAAACACTGAATAATCAGGAGGGGAGATCTTCCCTGTTCTTTGTTGAAATACTTTCGGCCCTTCACATCCACTCATTACGCCAGACCAGGCCTTGAAATAAAGGCTCTTCAGTACTGCCACTAGAAAGACAGCAGTGCTTGCTCAGTTAACATAACTTTGTGACAGATTTTTAAGAAGTTTATTTTTGCATGGAATGTGGGTGTCAGTTGCAAGGTCAACATTTGTTGCCCATCCCAAACTGGTCTCAACTTTAGTGTCATTAGGGACATTTCAGGAAAAAGTTAACAGTCAACCACATTGTTGTGGGTATGGAGTCCCATTTCTATGACAACCAATGGCAGTGCTGAACATTCCTGAGACTAGCATCATGTTTCAGTTTTTTCATAAATTTGAAGCCATGTCCTCACAGCATTATCCTAAAGCTCTGGATTACTAATCCAGTGATATTACCACCTGCACCTTCCTCTGCTAACTGATCAAAAATGAGTGGAGTTACTGACTGCAGCAGGAAGCCAACTTTACAGTTACAACCTGGACATGAGTCATCAGCTCCCAATTGTAGCACATACTGAGGTCTAAATACTAATTTGGGAATTCCGTGTTGGGGTGGGGGAGGTACTGCTTTTATTATTTGTATTAACTCCGACTAGTCGGTGTATGCTCAAGGTTTTAAGTGAGCAAGTAGGTGATTATTTAATGGGTTGGGGTCTACATACAGAAAATAATTTAAACCAGGACATGTATAAGTACTGTATTAAATTTATAGCATAACTAATTAAATTTCTTGATATAAATGCAGACATTAGAGTGCTATTTCTAAATTTGAAACCTTATTAGTGAAACACAACAAAAATTGTAGGACAGGTGGTATATTGTACCTGTGGACACTGGTGTGACCCACAGCAACCACATACGCAGTAACTATCTGCAGCTTAAGGAACACTGGCTCCAGATTGCTGAGCTGGACTTGAGCGTCTGATATTGATGCAGCAGGAAGTGGTATAAGGCTAGGTACCTCAGATTTTGTCTGTGGTCAGGGAAAGGAAGACGCGACTGTAGGAGAGGTGGATATGGGGATCCAGAAGGGAACAGTGAAGAAACTTTAACCCTTGCAACTGTACAAAAAGTTCCAAGTTCTCGCAACTTGTGTGAACAAGACGAGCGTTTGCAGGGAAGAGGAGGAAACTGACCACGGCATTGTACTGCTGGGAGCTACTCAAGCAGGTGGAAGTAAAAAGGAACACATGTAAAAAGGAACAGTGAGGGGAATCCATTGGATTCCCAGGAAGTGAGAACTTTGAGTCCTGCAGGCTATATTGCTCGCTTGATGCCAGTTTTAAGGACATATCTCAAAAGCTGAACAGGAAACTAGAGTGCGAGGGGAGATGTCATGGTCCAGGTGGATACCAACAACATGGACAGATCTAAGGAGGAGATTCTGCTAAGAGAGTACAAGCAGCTAGGGACTAAATTAGAAAGCAGAACCACAAAAGGTGATAATGCCTGAATCACAGGCAAACTTGCATAGGATAAATATGATCACTTCTTCCACACCAGACAGTTGAATGCATGGTTCAAAGACTGACATGGAAGAATTGGGTTTTCATTCATGGGGCATTGGCACCAGTGGGGGGAAAAGGGAGCTGTAACAGAGGAAGATGGTTTTTGTCCGAACCACAGTACCAACCTTTTCATGGTATGTGGGTATCTCTGGCTAGGTCTGCATTTATTGCCCATTCCCGATAACCCAGAAGGCAATTAGACTTAACCACATTGTTATGGGCCTGGAATAAAAAGCAGGCCAAAGCAGGTGAGGAAGACAGTTTTCTTTCTGTAAAGGGCATTAGCGAACCAGGTGGGGTTTTACACAATCAACAAGTGTCACATGGTCTCCCTTAGATTAGCTGTTAATTCCAGCTATTCTTTTTAAGAAGTGAATTCAGATTTTACAATCTTTAAAGTTTTGGCAGAGATCTGTAGTTCGGGTTGTGGGTGAGGTTGTTGACTTGCTTGCCAAGCTGGCTTGTTCTTGTTCAGACATTTTGTCACCATGCTAGGTGACATCATCAGTAGAGCCTCCGATGAAGTGATGTTATTCTACTTTGCTTGGAATTTATACTGTCTGGTCCGTTATGGTGAGCAGTCTCATTCCCGGTTTTAATCTGTGTGGGTTTGTATATGGGGTCCAATTCTGTATGTTTGTTGATTGCATTACATGTGGAAACCATGCCTCTAGGAATTCCTGGGCGTGTCTATGTTTGGCTTGGGCTACTCTGGTTACCTTGTCCCAGTTAAACTGATGGCCTTCATTGTCTGGCTGTACCGATATTAAGAACAGTTTGTAGTGCCATTTTGCTGCTAGTTGATATTCATGTATTCTGATGATTAGTTTCCTTCCTGTCTGTCCGATGTAATGCTTGTGGCAGTCGTTGCATGGTATTTTGTAAACCACGTTGGTTCTGCATGTTGTGAGAATGGGGTCTTTAATCTTTGTAAGTGTTTGCCGTAGAGTGGCTGTGGGTTTGTGTTCCAAACCTCAGTACACAAAAATAGCAACCCACACTGATCGAATCCTCAACTTCCACAGCAACCACCCCAACATGCACAAACAAAGCTGCATTAGGACACTATTTAAACGGGCCAGGACTCACAGCAATACCCCGGAACTACACAGGAAAGAGGAAGAGTACCTATACAAAATCCTCGCTATAAACAGATATCCCCACAACTTCATCCACAGATGCCCACTAAATAGATAACAACCGGAGGACACAGTATGACCTAACACACTGGCCACACTACCCTACATCAAAAACATATCGGAACTGATAACAAGACTCCTAAGCCCACTAGGAATCATGGTGGCTCTCAAAACCACAGCCACTCTACGACAAACACTTACAAGGATTAAAGACCCCATTTCCACAACATGCAGAACCAATGTGGTTTAAAAAACACCATGCAATGATCGCCACAAACATTACATCAGGCAAACAGGAAGGAAACTAGCAATCAGAATACATGAACATTAACTCGCAGCAAAATGGCACAACAAACTGTCCTTAATATCGGTACACTCAGACAATGAAGGCCATCAGTTCAAGTGGGACAAGCTAACCATAGTAGCCCAAGCCAAACATAGACACACATGGGAATTCCTAGAGGCATGGTTCTCCACCCTTAATGCAATCAACAAACATATAGAATTGGACCCCATATACAAACCCACACGGATCAAAACCAGAAATGACAACTCACCATAACGGACCGGACTGTATAAATTCCAAGTGGAGTAGAAGAACATCGCTTCATCGGAGGCTCCACTGATGATGTCACCTCGCATGGTGATGAAACATCTGAACGAGTGCAAGCCAGCTCGATGACATTTTACCATCTACCAGGATAGGATTCAAATACATGCCTCAGAGCATTAACAGGGGCTGTGGATTACAAGTCCAGTGACATTGCCAGTATCCCAACACCTTCCCTTGAATCACATAATTCTGGCTGTAAAGAGGGCTATAAACAGAAGAGATGAAGAAAAGTTCATCTGAGGGGAGATTTGGAAGTTAAAGAGGGAGGACAACATAATAGCACAGGATCGCAATGCAAGTCATGATAACCAGAATGTGACAGGAAGGGATAGGCTATACATCATAAGACAGCAGCAAATAATGACTAAGTAAAGGAAAATGATGAAAATGTAGAAACAAAGACGCTTTATGTGAATACACAAAGAATTCAAAACAATATGGATGAATTTATTGCAGAAACAGAAGTAAATGAGTGATACGGCAGGCAAGTGACCATAGCTGGGACAATGACATTTTGGAAAGGTAGGAAGAAAGGAAAAGGTGGTGGGGTGGCAGTCTCAATAAAGCCATGCAAATAAGAAATGGGAAAGACAAGGTAAGAGTGGTGTCTTGGCCTCTTAACAGTAACACCATTGTAGGGCAGAAATCGAGAAATAATGAAGGCTTGTAAGAAAGCTACTGCAATAATCTTGTAAGGCTTTAATAGTCATCTAGATTGGATTAATCAAACTTGCAATAGTAGATTGGAGGACAAATTCAGAGTATATTCGAGAAGGTTTTAGAATAGTAGATTCTGAAATCAACCACAGTAAAGGCCATTTTAGACTCAGCAACATGCAATTAAACGGGATTCATTTGCAGGATTCTCACTGTCGTAATATAAGTATCCTCTAGATAAGAGTAATCACAAAATGATAGAATTTCACATTCAATTTGTAAGAAATGTGGGTCTGAAACCAGAATCTTAAACTTAAATGAGAGGCAATGACAATGATCTGAAGATCCTAGTTGGCTAAACTAGAACAGAAAACAGGTTAAAAGTTAAGATGGTTAAGCGAAACAGTAACATACATTTAAGGAAATATTTCATCATTTTAAGCAAAGCTACATTTAATTTGAAAGAGACGAGATGGAAAGAATGTGCAATTCATGGCTAACTAAGGAAGTTAGAAAGGGTATCAAATGGAGAAAAGATGTACAATGTTGCAACGATTAACAACAGCCCAGAAGCACGTTGGACCTATCCTCATTGGAGTTTAGAAAAATGATGGGTGATCTTATTGAAATAATACAAAATTTCAGTGGAGGGCTTGATGGGTGAATGCTGAGAAGATGTTTCCCCTTCTCGGGGAATAGTTTAAAAATAGGTTCTCCAATCTAAGCTGGAGACGAGGAACATTTCCTTCTCCCAAAGGGCCATTAGCCTGTGGAACTCTCTTCCACATGCAATGAACACTGTCACGGAGCATATCGAAGGTTAAGTTATACAGATTTTTGACGTGCAAGGATGTCAAGGAGATGGGGGACATGCTGGAAAAAGGAGTCGAAACCAGTCAGATCAGTTATGATCTTTCCAAAGGCAGGAGTAGATTCAATGGGCAGAATGGCCTATTCCTGTTACATTTAGGCTTGTACTCCAGCTGTGGTGTAACCAGGGTTTTGTACAGCTGGGAAATGACTTTCACTCCCTTGTATTCTAGTCCTTCAGATATGATGGCCAACATTCCATTCAACTTTTTGATCATTTTCTCTACCTGCTATGGCATTTCAATAACCTATTTACTTGGATCACTTTCAATAACTTGAGGGGGTTCAGCTGGACCAGTCAGTTCTAAGACTGAATCATAAGCATATAGATATATATTTCCACATATTGAACAGCTTTGCTTCAGTGTTCAAACAAAGGATTTTCATTCGAGTCTCACCGTCTCCTCTTCTGCGCAGGAGAATGGGAACGGGACCGGGACCGGGACCAGGACCGGGAGCAGGATGTGGAGCTGGAGGAGCTAGTATACCGCTGACGCCTATAGCACGGGGAGGTCCAAGTCCTTCTTGAACAATGGGAAGAATCAAAGGGTTTGTCCCTCTCAGTCTCTCCATTCGGAGAGGGAGTTATAGTTACACAATGGTTTCTCTCTGCAGTTTCACATCCAACATTCCGCTGGTCCACTGCCAATGAGAAGCTCTTATTCGGGTTTGCGCTTCCTGTTCCAGTGGGAAGTGTGTTGGAGGAGACCTGAACTCCATGCAATGTCTTCTGGGAATGTGATGTGTTCCTTTCAATACCAGGGCCAGTTCCTAGCTGCTTGTCCCCTACCCAGTGCTGAGAAGTTGGGCTTCGACACTGACGATTCAAGGAGGTAATGGGTTTAATAGTGATGTTTGCTTGGCGCTTGATGTTCCAACGACAGGCAACATCCGGCTGGCCCACAGCTGGCGGAGAGATATTGCGCGATGATGACTGGGTGCTGATTCTAGGCAAACAATATATATGATCCCCAAAGCCAAAGGGAGCAGCAAGTGGAGGCTTGAGTGCAGACTGGGGGCTTGAACACTTTGCCCGATTATTCTGTACCAAAGGCTTTGGATCAATCAGCTTCGCAGTCCTGACTGGAGAGCCCCCGAAGCCCTCAGCTGTTTCCAGTAACTTCCGCTTGCCCAGAAAGCTCGCTGGTGAGGGTAGTGATTTCCATATCTGATGCGGTGGAGTTGCCGGTGGCGTCAAACCTACAAAGAGGTACAGACTGTCATTGATAGCAGCCCATTGCTGAAGACCAGCAGGCACAAGTGCCCAGCATATTGCCTGCCCAGATCCTGCAACACCCCACAAAAGCCAGAACCTTCTAATCCAAACGTACTACCTCCACTTAGTACCCACATCCTCAACACCCACTCTCCACTCACCAATCCATACTTCCAACCCTGTGCACACATCCCCTAAATACCCCATGTATACATCCCTCCAGCCAAGGCTCACCTGCTGTACTTGCCAATTCTGCTCCAAATATGTGATCCAATAGTTTCCGCTCCTCAGGAACCTCTGGCCTGAAAACACAAGTCATTTCAATCACCGGCAGAGCAAAGAGCACCCTACCACATCACTGTCCCCAACTCCCAAAATAAAGGACTAAAACACAGAACGCTCACTCTCCTATCCTTTGCCACCAGCAGGAAGTCCTGTGTCCCAACCCCGTGCCAGACCCCTAAGGAAGGAAACAGTTATGCAGCTCTTGTCTGAAAGCTCAACTGGTACTCACCCTTTGATGTTCCCAGGGGGTGACTCCTCTGACACTGGAAAAGAAACAAAAACGTAATCAGCAGGAAACACCAGCCAATCTCAGCCTCTAGCTCTGTGCACTGTTCCTAACTGTCATGTACAGCCTCAGCCCCCTGCACTTATCCACACATGCCAAAAAGAAATTTGTCTCACCCTCAGTGACTTCAAACTGTTCCAGCAAACTCATCAGGTCGGCTGCCTCAATACCTGCTGGAAATGAGGAACAAAAACCATCAGCAACTCAACACTAGAACCCTCAAGTTACCTATCCCTCCACCAAAAATCCCATCACCAGCATCTCCCCAGAATCATCTAATACAGACCACTGCCTTCTGGCTCTCTAGTATCAACCTGGCAGGAAGTAGGATTCTGTGCTGGTAACAACTATAGGAACCCCAGCCTCTCCTCAGATTTCAAATATCACCAGGAGTGTTGAGTTCAGATTGTAACCATATCTGGCAGCATGATATCATGATCAGAATTAAGTTAGTACAATAAATGAACTGACTTGGGGTGGGTGGTGTGAGAGAGATGGCAGAGCAGCAGTAATGACACTGAGCTAGTAAACCAGAGATACAAGCAAATGTCACATAAGCAAGCATTCAAATCCCATCATGGCAGCAACGGAACTTAAATCAGCTAATAAATCTGGGATATAAGACTAGTCTCAGTGACGGCAGCTACAAAACTACCATCAATGTCATAACAAGACTACCTGGTTCATTGAAATTCTTTAAGGAAGGAAATCTTTGTGTTGTTTGACACCAATGAGGAGCTTGATGTGCCCTGATCGACTCTTTCACATCCTTATCCAGTCTGGACCACATGCAGGCCTTCATTGCCCTTTAAAGTGAATTGAGTGGCTTGCCAGGCCAAAGGCAATTAGGGCTGGGACTTATGAATGAATAAAGAAATGTAATCAATGTAAGTGCAAAAGCAATGTGTAATTAATATATAGAGAAGGGCCTTATTATCATAGAGGGACCAGGAATAGTTTTATATTCTATCGGCAGAGTTAAGAACAAAACGCATCAGAAATTAACATTTTTCACAGACTGCATCAAGCTGTAACACCAAATCTCAAATCAGATGCATTACGTACATGACCAGTAGCCTGGAGATCCTAGGTAAAGGAGTCATTTATCAGTCACAATGTTTGCTGACCTAAAGTATGCACCTGAGGCAACACAACTGCCTTTAGCATCCTTAGCCTGCCTTATATGGAATAGGGAATCTGCTCCTGACCATTATTAAATATCCTGGATAAAAGTGCAAATAAAGACCCTGCCCATTGAGTCTAGCTTTGATGCCAGTACCTGAAAAGCTTGTCAACATTCACTGCAACTGTCCTCTTAAGAAAAATGACTTATAGAGTCTGGCAGAGGCCAGGAATCAGCTGCAGACTAGACCAAAATGGAGACCACCTCATTCTTATCCCAAAACAACACTGGCCAGGATTTACCGGCATACATCTTCCTCATTCATTCACAAATCCCTTGCGTGTCCTTGACAAGATGATTGCTATTTTACACACCTTTCAGGTTGTCCTTTGCTTTGTTCACCACCACTGAGGAGCTTGGTGTGCCCTGATCGTTCCCTTCACGTGCCTGGGGTCCCCTGGATGACTGAAGCTCCTGCACTGGAGGACATTCAGGGATTGGTGGTGATGGAGATGTGACTGGCAGAGCCTGCATTGTGGTTACCTGGACAGATTCAGCCAGCAAGTCATTCTGATCATGTGGAATGTCCACCTCTGGAGCAGCATTGCAAGGCCCAATGGCAGGCATCAGCGATGGGTGCTCTGAATCTCCCGGTATCAGAGTTGATGGGGGTAGAGCTCCTGTGAGTGGGACGAGGGGTTTGTGGACTGATGTGGTCTGGACTTGCTGAGGCTGTGGGTCCATGATTGAGGTTTTGGTTTGGGATTTCAAGCTGTCTGGGAGAATTGGAGGTTTCACCACTTTCTGCCTTGTCCTGTACTGAGACTCATTTGGCAGCTGTAGCGTAGCTGAGGCCAGAGCAGGAATGGATGGAGCCTGAGCAGGGGCAGAAGCGGCCAGAGGGGCCGGAGCCTGAGCCTGAGCAGGGGCAGGAGCGGCCAGAGGGGCCGGAGCGGCCAGATCGGCCGGAGCCTGAGCAGGGGCGGGTGAAGCTAATGAAGCATGAGCAGAAGTGGGTAGACCCAGAGGCAGAGCATGTGGGGCCGAAGTGGGTGGGACCAACTGTTGGAATGGTGTGGGTACAGTGGGTGGAGTCAGACAGTGGTTGGATGGGACAAGAAAGGGTAGGGCCATGTGGTGAGCAGATGAGGTCAGAATGGTTTGAGTCAGGTGATGGCTGGGTGGTGAGAATGTGGGCAGGGCCACAGGAGGTGGGGGCAAATAGGGTGGGGGCAGGTGGTGGGGAGGCAGGGCCACAGGGGGCGGGGGCAGGTGGTGGGGAGGCAGGGGCACAGGGGGCGGGGGCAGGGGGGGGGGGGGGCAGGGCCAGATGGGTGGGTAAGGGCTGACTGGGTGGAGTCAGATGGGTCACAGGTTTTGCAGCCAGGTGGCTGGCAGGTAGGTCCACAGTGGATGGAGTCGGATAGCAGGTTGGCAGTTTTGCAGTGGGTGTGGGGCCTTGATTGGTGGGTGGGGTCTGGCTATCCTTGGATGGGACCTGGATGGGTGCAGTTTGTCTTTGAGGAGAGTCCTGGAGGTGGAGTGGAGTGGCCTGCCTTCTGACTACGTGTCCAGCAGGTTCTAGTGGCAAAATGCTGAGCTCCCCCTGGACAATGGACTGAATGGGGACAACAGGCCAGGCGCTCTTGCTGTTTGTGTCTGTACCAAGCTTTTGTTTCTCATGCACTGAGAGGACACCATCTCGTTTCCGTTGTTGGAGTCGCAGTCGATACTGTTGGAGGCTGATTGATCGCAGTTTGGATTCATTGATGGTTGTTTCGGGAACAGCGGGAGATGGCATATCACAACCAGGCAATCGTGATGTTGGGGATGAAGTGGTCCCAGGGTGCTGGGGCGCTGGGGCAGGACCATTCTCCAGAGTTTGTTCAGGGTGTATGACCTCATTTACAAGTGTATCTCCATGCCCAGACTGAGGCTCTACTGACTGGGGAGAACTGCAGCCTCCCAATGCAGGCTGGCTCTCAGGTGGCGATGGATTCTCTGGCTCCTTTGCACCCTTGCTCGATGTAACAACTTGGTTACTCTCCTTCCCAGCAGTAACTTTGCCTCTAGTTTTGATTCTCCTCACACCTTGTTCCACTCCTGTCTGTTGGGTTAGAAATTGAGATTCTTGTGAAGGATCAAGCAAGCGCTCCTGTTTCTGCTGGACTTCGGTGGAGCTTCCCTGATTTTCTGCTGCTTGAAGCTGGGTCTCAAGACGGTGGTGTTGACATGATGTTTCAGTATTGTCCAGCTGCTCAGAAACTGGAGTCTCATCAGATTTTGTTGTTTTTCTCAACTTTCCTCTTGTCATTGTGTCTGGGGAGGTCTCCACTGAGGAGGCTGGCATGCCTTCCTGTTGCTTTGAGGTTTGTGGCAGGCGCTCTGCACCAGGGTCTTCAGCCAGCACAGGGTCCTCGTCATTCCCACCTATCATTTGTATCAGATGCTCACTGCTCTCACAAAGCACCATTGGTAACTCCAGATCCTGCAACTCACTATCCTGGATCACATGAACCTCCAGTTCAATCATGCTGTCCGCTAGATCGGCGTCTGTCCCCAGACATATCACTCCATTGGGCAAACGATGAAGACGAACATCCTTGACTGGGTCAGACATCGACACATGCTGGACATCATATGCACGTGACGAACTGCGTTCAAGTACCAGTGTTACGTTGTTCTCCAACCCCGCTGCATCAAGCTGCTCAGCCAACCGCAAGTCCAGTGATTCACCGGGTCCCGACTCTGATGCACCCTGACCGTTACTAATCAGATCATCTTCTTCCTCTTCCTTGCCATCACTAAGCTGCTGTGAAGTTTCCTCTCCAAAACCTCTGTTCAAGAGCTTCTCCGATCTCCACTGGGCATTCAGACCCCTGGGAGCAGACAGGACCAAGTGTCCGAAAGGTTCCTTCCCCACATCTGGAAGCATGGCACAAGACTGGTGCCCAACCTGAGAAACAGCAAAATTAAATGAGAGTGTGTACGAGAGAAGCAGAGCCTACAGGAGAGCACAAAGGCAGCTCAACAAGAGAAAGTTACTCATCCACCATGATCAAATCTGAATACTTGTAAATTGTGTTTTTAATTCACTCTTGGGATGTTGGCATTACTGGCTAGGCCAGCATTTATTGCCCATTCCTAATTACCCAGACGGCAATTCAGATTCAACCACATTGCTGCATGTCTGGAGTCACATGTAGGCCAGACCAGGTAAGGATGGCAGATTTCCTTCCCTGAAGGATATTATATCTTCGACAAGGAGCAATGGTTTCATGGTCATCATTAGACCTTTAATTCCAGATTCTTTATGGAATTCAAATTCCATCATTGCTGTGGCAGGATTTGAACCTGGCTCCCCAGAACATTAGCCGAGTTTCCGGATTAACAGTCTAGTGATAATACCATTAGGCTCTTGCCAAATGCTGAGAGATTGGGAGCTATGGGAGTATAAATAGGTTTGAGTGTTCAAGTACTAAAATCATAGGTACAAACAGGATTCAGAAAGGCAAGTAGAATGTGGCGTCAAGAAACTAGAATAAAAAGGGGAGGAAGTGACGCTTCAGTTGTAAAGAGCTGTGGTCAGATTCAATCTGGAGTCAGTATGTTTAGCTGAGCCCTGCATGTCTGGAATGACATATCAGCCTTGGAGTGGTTACAGTACAGATTCACCAGAGCAGCTTCAAGGTTAAAAGGTCTACTGTATACTCACAGGTTGCATAATGATATTTGTATTCCCTTAGGTATAGAAGGTTAATTGAGGTATTCAAAATGATAACAGGATTCAAAAGTGTGTAATCTATCTTTACTGACAAGGAATATAAAACTAGATGGAAAAGTGTCAAAACTGGACCTGATCTATTCAGCAATTATGTAGACAAGATTGCTTCTTGATTTAAAGGGATGTAGCAATTGGAGACACTTCCTACAAAAAAATTATATGTATGGCTGTGGTAACCTGTAGCTTTCAAGATTGGGATTAATAAATTGATGACAGCTGACTGATCTGATAGTTAGCTTGGTCTGCCTCTGTACAAATACAGCCAGAATGCTGAGTAATCCCAGCATATTCTAGTTTTATTTTACGTTCTTAGCATCAGTATTTTCCTCTTGTATTATTAAACTTTTCTTGGTAAAGCTATCAAGAGATCAACCGTTCTATAATTGATCAGATTCAAGCTGAGTCAACAGCACCTCTTCCTCCGTAACATTACTGACATTAACCAGTAAGCTTTTACAACAGACAGCAACCCCCTACGCCATGGTCATGCCTTCACACCTTTGTCCATACGTACCAGAAGGCATTCTTGCTCATCCTTTGGTGGGGCAAATATCTCAGAGTCAGGAATGCAATCAAATGGAGAGGGATTTTCATCATCAACAGTATCCAGTATCTCAGTCAAGGCTGTTAGTAGTGATGCCTCGCTCTCCTCATCGAGCAACAATTTATTCTGGAAATAGAGCAGAGGCAATATCAGACAGAGTCAGAATGAGCACAGTGTGAATTCAAAATCAACAAAAACCAGAAGAAAACAGATCAGCGTAACATATCACAATTCCCAAGTCAATAGGAGAGAGGATGCATTTTGACCCAGAAATCTCAGTTATCAACCTAGCAGGTCTGAAGGTCACCCAGAGAATGGGGACAAGGGAGTACCAGGAACACCCTCTAATACCCAGATGGGGAAATAGTTTGAAATGCTATTAACAGTGTCACTGCAAAACTCAACATCGAGAACAGTCTCAGCAATCCATCGTTCACAGGAACAACAACATAAGCATTCAAACAGATTACTTATCCCTGTTGGGCCAGGTGTCAGTGTCCCATTAATGGGTATTTAGCCAACCCATGCCCAATGGGAAGAATCTTAGTGCATACACAACTATTAAAAACTCACCTCTGTTTGCGCTGTAGCCTCAATTATCGAAATTATTGACTGATCGATACAACCAGGAAAACTTCCTGAAATCCCTTCCACATCTGAATCTGCAACGGTGAGAAGGCTGGAAGGTAAATGGTAATCCTCGAGATTCTGACCCTAAAATGAATTCAAAGCAATTGTAAACAAGAAGGAACGAGAACAAACTTCTTACAATCCTCTCACTCTCCTCAATGAGCAACGATTTATTCTGGAAATAGTGCAGAGGCAATATCAAGTCAGAATGAGCACAGTGTGAATAGAACATCGAAAGAAGCCAAAAGGAAACAGATAAGCGTAACACATCACAATTCCCTTCAAGCCAAAAAAAAAACCAAGTCAACAGCCAATACCACATGGTAGACTAATTAATAAAGTTATATCACATGGGAATCGGGGTGAGCTTGCCAATTATATACCGAATAGGCTTAATGGCAGGAGAGTGATGGTGGAGGTATGTTTTATGGACTGGAGCCTGTGACCAGCAGTGTTCCACAGGGATCAGTGCTGGGTCCACTGTTGCTCGTCATTTATACAAATGATTTACAGGAGAATATAGAACGCATGGTTAGTAAGTTTGCGGATGAAACTAAAATTGGTGGTATAGAGGACAGCAAAGAATGTCATCTAAGATTATGAAGAGATCAAGAATGCGCTTAGCATGCTTGCCTTCACTGCTCAGACCACTGAGTTAGGAGTTGGAATGTTATGTTGAGGTTATACAGGACATTAGTGAGGCCTCTTCTGGAGTACTGCGTCCAGTTCGGACAACCCTGTTATAGAAAGGATACTATTAAGCTGGAGGGGTTTCACAGAGAGATTTACCAGGATTTTGCAGGAATGGAGACTTTGAGTCATAAGGAGAGGCTGGGGCTTTTTTTTTCCACTGGAGCATAGGAGGTTGAAGGGTGACCTTATAAAGATTTATAAAACATGAAGGGTATACAAAAGGTAAATGACAGGTGTCTTTTCCTTAGGACGGGGTGGAGGTTTCAAGACTAGGGATTGTACTTTGACGGTGAGAGGAGAGAGATTTAAAAAAAGACATGTAGGGCAATTTTTACACAAAGTGGTTCATGTGTGGATTGAACTTAGAGGAAACAGTGGATGCTGGTATAGTTACAACATCTAAAAGAGATTTGAATAAGTACACGAATGAGAAATGTTTGGAGGGATAAGAGCCAAGTGCAGGCAGGTGCGACTAGTTTAGTTCAGGATTATGGTTGGATTGAGCTGCGTTTCCGTGCTGTACGACTCTCGAAACGGACACAGCATTAGTACCTCAGCCACTCATGACCTGAATTGCTCAGACTATTTAATATAGAAGTTGGGACATCATATTGAGGCTGTACATTGAGGGGCATAGATAAGGTGAATAGTAAAAGTCTTTTCCTTAGGGTAGGCAAGTTCAAAACTGGAGGGCATATTTCTAAGGCGAGAGGAGAAAAATTTAAAAAGGGACCTGAGGAGCAACGTTTTCACAGCGGGTGATTCACATGTGGAATGAACTGCCAGAGGAAATGGTAGACGCAGGTACAGTTACACCATTTAAAGGACAGGTACGTGAATAGAAAAAGTTTAGAAGGACATGGGCAAAAAGCAGGTAAGTGGGACTAGTTTAGTTTAGACTAGACTAGTGGGAAACTTGGCCAGCATGAACAAGTTGGATCGAAGGGTCTGTTTCCATTCTCTACGACTGCATAACCCATTGCCTCAAAACCCAAGCAACAAACCCCCATATCCGAGGTAACAAGGTGTAGAGCTGGATGAACACAGCAGGCCAAGCAACATCAGAGGAGCAGGAAGGCTGACGTTTCGGGCCTAGACCCAAGAAGGGTCTAGAGCCGAAAAGTCAGCCTTCCTGCTCTCTGATGCTGCTTGGCCTGCTGTGTTCATCCAGCTCTACACCTTGTTATCTCAGATTCTCCAGCATCTGCAGCTCCTACTATCTCTGAAACAATTCAAACTGCCATATCCACTGTTTCTTAGTCAATGATTGTCCATGCTAGATTTTTTTTGAGATTTTATTCGGCGTGGGTTTTTAGCTCAATTGTCACCTGTCACTTCCACAGTGGTCCTTTTGAGGAGGATGGAGATGGGAACAACAAGGCATAACAGAAAGACATGTGGGGTCATGGGTTGAGTTTGAGACAGATCAGGTTCATAAAGAAGCCACTTAAACCTTAAACCCTTTCTGCTAATCACACCTCGTCTTCACCCCGTATTAGTCAATAACTTGGAGAAAACATATCAACCTCAGGATTTAAAAATTCCAATTCGTCTAGTCTCAATTACAATTTACCTAAGACAGTACAAATTTTTAACCACCTTTTGCGTGCAGAATTATGTCCCAATTTTACTTCTTAACCATTCTGGCTCATTCCAGGTTATGCAACCAGAGTTTTTGTACTATTTCTCTGTAATTTAAATCGTGGGGAGTCCAGGTAACAATTTCATAAGTCCGTACTGCCGAGGCCCATATCTACAGCCCAGAAATGTTCCCATTCCAGGTGTGGTTTAAGCCGGGCTTTGTAAAATTTAAGCTTTATTTCTCACCTGCACCGGGCCAGCTTTTTGGTGAACCATACTAACGATGCAGACAGCTAAAACATCAAGCCTGTTTCTTACTTTAAAAAAAGCCATATCCCCGATGGTCTCACATGAAAACCCAGAGCTTTGACCGTTCGCCGTGTTCCGTCGGCTTCACAGAGCTGCCTCTGAGCGGCATTCCCACGGAACCGGTTCCGGACTGGGCCAGCACGGACACGATGGGCTAAATGGCTTCCTCCTGTCTCCACGCGGCCGCCCTAAGGAACAGATCTCGGGGAGGGGTTCCTGATGCCCGGCCCGGCCGCACCCACGTGTCCCGGTGCCGGCTCCAATGCCTCTGACCCTCGATGTTAACCCTGGACACGGACGGACACACACACACACACACACACACAGGAGTCCCCTGTGCGCCCATCTCCTCTCCGGACGCCGCAACGGCCCCCTCCTCTCCCCGGCCCCTGGACCCAGCTCCCTCTTCCTCAGGCCCCCGGCCCTGACACCGGTCCCGGCCGCGCACACGTGTCAGTCACCGGCTGCTCCGAGAGCCGCTCCCCGGGCGGAAAACCCAGGCAAAGCTCTCCCTCACCTGCAGCTCGGGCTCCAGCTTGCTGTCCCCGCCGGTAATAGACTCGAAATCCCGGAGCCTCCAGAGCCGGTTCCCGTCTCCCGCCGCCCATGGCGCCGCCATCTGCAGCCGCCGACTGGACCGCCTGAGCCCACCCCCTGGCCGCGCCACTTCCGCTTCTGGCTCCCCCTGCAACAGCACGGGCGCTGCCATCTTTGATCCTGGCAAAGTCTGATTTGACAATGTCAGTTCATAGAGTTATCATCATAGAATCCCTATAGTGTGGAAACAGGCCATTCAGCCCATCGAGTCCACACCGCCCCTCTGAAGAGCATCCCACCCAGACCCACCCTATCTCTGTAACCCTGTATTTCCCATGGCTAATCGACCTAGCCGGCACATCCCTGGACACTATGGCAATTTAGTATGGCCAATCCATCTTACCTGCACATCTTTGGACTGTGGGAGGAAACTGGAGCACCCGCCAGAAACCCACGCAGATACGGGGAGAATGTGCAAACTCCACACAGACTGTCGAATCAAAACGGTGTCCTATCTAAAAGCAAAAGACTATTTTCTAATCAACTTGTTCAGAGATGTTATTCCACAACTCCTGAAACAGGTGGGACTTGAATCCGGGTGTCTAATAGATAGAGTGAGGGCTCTTGCGGTGGAGTGGTAATGTCCCTACCTCTGAGCCGGGGTGGGGGCCTGAGTTCAAGTTCCAACTGATCCAGTGGTGTGTAATACCATCTCTGAACAGGTTGATTAGAAAATAACTCCAAGACAGAGTGGCATCCCCTGCCCTGCTTCTAAGCTCCTAAACTCTGCCCCCTGCCCCCGGCTCTCTACCCTCTTCTGATCCTTGCCTGTCCATAGTCCGGCCTGTCCTCCCAGGACATGGTTGTACCTCAAATAGTCCGAAGGTGTAACCTTTACTCATGGCTATGGCCTCTTGACCTCGGCGCCTTTGCCATTCCAGCATCTTTACCGTATGCCCCAACTCCCTTGTCTTCTCACAGAATTTTTTTTTTTCCATGTTCTGACAAATATTCTTCTGGTAGCTGTCATTTCCTCACTTAGAACCATCTGCAACATTGTATTCGCTTGTATCGAAACGTAGCATCTACTACTGTTGTAAATTTAAAACAGGAAATGTTCCAAAAGATTCTCACTGAATCTGATGTGAACATTTTATTGAAAGACGTACTATGACAAGCACTTTGAGACCAGACTAAAAATACGGAATTCCTGCTTCACAACTGTGGGAGTTTATTAGTCCAGATTCAGTTTGTTCATCTAACACCTGCAATATCAGAGTCTTCTGGAAAGTACTGGACTATTATAAATACATGGCTAGAACATGTTGTGCTGAAAGAGACAACAAGGTGCAGAGCTGGATGAACACAGCAGGCCAAGCAGCATCATAGGAGCAGGAAGGCTGACGTTTCGGGCCTAGACCCTTCTTCAGAAGAAGGGTCTGCTAATCCTGCTTCTAAATTTGTGGAATAGAAGCTGACTTCTGGATCTCGTTCGCATTCTCTCCGTCCTGATCTCTGCAGTCTGTGATAAAACACAGGTTCACTTGCAAGACAACAGGGTGCAGGGCTGGATGAACACAGCAGGCCAAGCAGCATCATAGGAGCAGAGAGGCTGACGTTTCGGGCCTAGACCCTTCAAAGTTTTTATTCGAAATAATCGACAAGTTAGTTAAGAAGTTTGTATTGTTCGGGAGCTTGTCACTACACTGGCACAGATTTCAAGTTACTTCTGAATAACTAATAAGTTGTTGTAAAGATTTTTGTCAATAAATAAGTTTCATAAAAACATAAATTGCTGAAAAAAGTGCAGTTGGCATGATTTGCGGAGAGAGAACCAGAGTTAACGTTGCGAGTCCGATAGACTATTGCTCGGAATATGTGCAACAGCTTCCACAGCTGTGAACTGCCGAGGGTGTAGATGTGGCAGAGCGGATCAGAGGTTTACTCTGCAACACGTGGAAACTGCATTTAAACGCATGGCGATAAGTAACTAACCATGGAGCGGAAAAGCTGGGCGTCACTTTGTTGCGGCTCAAATGCTGCAGCGAGTTCTACCTGGAGCAGCAGTGGCAAGCTGGCCCATATCCTGCGTTGATGTACTGATTAGTTGATTAAATGTGAAACAGTAACGGAGCGCGGGACGCTATGGCTCATTCGCAGGAGAAAGAAAAGTTATCCAACTAAATTTTCCGCAGTGTCCAGAGAAGTGGAAGTCCCAAACTAGGTAGATTAGCCACGTTACGGTGATAGGGTAGGGGACTGGGTCTCGGCGACATGCTAGTCGGAGGATCGGTGCAGACTCTATGGGCCGAATGACCTCGTTTCGCACTGTAGGGATTCTATGAGGCTATGAACTTCAGAGCTCCTTTCACGAAATAAATATATAGAGCTGGACCTTGATCAGACGGGCCAATAGGCCAAGGAGTTCCAGTTTAGTAAGGCAAACCAGGGAAAAACTTATACAGTTAATGGCAGGGTCTTGGGGACTGTTGCCCAACAAAGACACTTAGGTATGCAAGTGAGTAAATCCTTGAAAGTGGAGTTGCTGGAAGACAGGGCAGCAAAGAAGGTATTTGGCATGTTTCTCTTCATTGGTCAGAACAATGAATGTAGGAGTTGGGATGTCACTTTACAGCTGTACAGGACATTGTTTAGGCCACTTTTAGAATACTGCATAGAACTCTTGTCACTCTTCTATAGGAAGGATATTGTTAAACTTGAGAGGGTGAGGGGTGACCATATAGAGATTTATAAAATCATGAAGGTGAATAGCCAAGATCGTACATGTGTGAAACAAATGGCCAGAGGAATGGTGGAGGCAAGTACAATTACGACATTTAAAAGGCATCTGGAGGGGGACATGAATAGGAAGGGGATTTAGAGGGATATGGGTTAAATGCTGGCAAATGGAAATAGGTCAGATTGGGATGTCTGGTTGGTGCAGATGAGTTGGACTGAAGGGTCTGTTTCCATGCTGTATTACTCTACGGCAATAGAAAAAAAGTGTTGTATCACTGTCATGGTTTATAATATGATAATTAAGTTGAATGTATAGGAGAGACAAAGAGAAGAGTAGGAAAATATATTCTTGGCTGGATAGTCAAATTGAAACTGACAATGAACTCAGAGAGCCATAGAGTCGTACAGCACAGAAACAGACCTTTCAATCCAACTTATCCATGCCAACCAAGTTTCCCAAACTAAACTAGTCCTACTTGCCTGCATTTGACTCTAAACCTTTCCTATTCATGTACCTGACCAAATGTCTTTTAAATGTTCATAGAATACCTACAGTGCGAAAACAGGTCATTAAGCCCACAAAGTCCACACCAACCCTCTGAAGAACATCCCACCCACAACCATCCCTCTACACTTTCCCTGTAACCATGCATTTCTCATGGCTAACACACCTAACCCATACATCCCTGAACACAAAGGGCAATTTAGCATGTTGTAACCATACCTGCATCTACCACTTCTTCTGGCAGTTCATTCCACACAGTAACCACTGTCTGTGTGAAAAAGTTGCCCCTCAGGTCCCTTTTAAATTTTTCTCCTCTCACCTTACAAATATGCTCTCTAGTTTTGAACTCCCGCACTCTACGGAAAAGATTTGCTATTCACTTTATCCATGCTCCCTCTTGATTTTATAAACCTCTACAAGGCCACCCTTCAACCTCCTACACTCCAGTCTAAAAAGTTCCAGGCTAAGCAGCCTCTCCTTACAACTCAAACTCTCTAATCATTGCAACATCCTGGTAAATCTTTTCTGAACACTCTCCAATTCAATAATATCCTTCCTATGGCAGGGCAACCAGAACTGTACGTAGTACTCCAAAAGTGGCCTCATCCAGTGCCCAGTACAACCTCAACATGATGTCTCAATTCCTGTACTCACTGATCTGAGCAATGAAGACATAATTAAGATCCAAAGTAAGTAACGCAGCACTTGTCTTCTTGAAAAACTGGATGTTGCCAAAATCATACTGAAGGAAGAAATAGTGAAATTGGATAGGATAAGACAGAGCTAATTTAAAGATCTGCAGCAAAGTAGAACAAGTGGAAGTATCCCAGATTTCTGAGGAAAGTGAAGGTGAAATTGCTGAAGTTCTGGTTGCAATCTTAATTCTCCTTCAATATGGGAGCATTTTCAGAGTACTAAAGATTGCAATTGTTAAGCACCTGCTCAAAAAGATTCAAAAGTGATAAATCCAGCAACTTCAGGCCAGTCAGCCAAATATCAATGTTGGCAAAACTTTTAAAGACCTGAATTTGGGATAAAATTAATAGGTACATGTTTAAGTATAGGTTAATAGATGAGTATTAGCATAAATTTATCAAAGGTAAATTGGGGTAATTAACAAGATAGAGTTATTTGTTTAAATAACAGAGTATGGATGAAGAAAATGTACTTGATGTTGTGTACATGGACTACAAAAATTCCATGCATAAAATTAGCAAAAATGAACATGTAATTTAAGTGGCAGGGATTACGTAGATACTGTTAACAATGAGGGAGCAGAACACTCAGTGGTTTAATTAATGCCACAAGATTTAACTTTTTAATAAAAACAATTTTATTTGTATATAAAAAAAAACAAATCAAACAGTCTTAACACTAATATAACTATAATGAAAGCAAAATACTACAGACACCGGCCATCTAAAACAAGAGAAATTAGAGAAATTCAGCAGGTCCGATATTATCTCTGGAAAGAGAAACAGAGTTAACATTTTGAGTCCAATATGACAGTACATTCTCAAGAAGTCATATAATTCATCATGTACTGAGACTGCCAGACACGCTGACCTTCTCCAGCATTTTCTGTTTTACTTACTGTCATAACTATATTTGTTATACACTTTTTACTCCTTACTACCCCTAAGCCTTTCTGTTTTAGATACATCACCTTAGGTATTTAATTCTGTCATGACCTTCCATACGGATACGACTGTTCTCTGAAAATTACTTTAATTCTCCTCAATTCCAGTTATTCTCAGAGGTAAGTCTTTCATTTACTTCTTCTGGACTCAGTTCATTGTACTGGTTATCTTCTCAATACTTTCAAGCTATCTACTGGGTGCTTTCTTTTGCCACAAGACTCCCTTGGCCACTATAGATTTATCTATTTAGCAATCTTGGAATTTCTCAAAAAAAGGAATGAATTCCAGAGCATGGAGCCAGGGAAACCAAAGGTACAGCTGCCAATGGTGAAGCATTTAAAATACGGGACAAAAGCAGACAGAATTAGAGTGCTGATATCTAAGAAGGTTGTGGTGCTAGAACTTTCAGAGATAGGAACAGTTTTGATCCCCTTACCTAAAGAAAGATACTGGCATTGGAGGCAGTACAGAGAAGGTTCACTAGGTTAATCCTGTGTATGGAGGGATTTTCTTATGAGGAGAAGTTGTATAGGTTGGACTTGTACTCATTGGAGTTTAGAAAATGACAGGAGACCTTATCTTAACATGTAAGATTCTTAGAGGGCTTGACAGGGTAAGTGAGAGAATTTTTTTCAGTCTTTCAGGAGAGTCTAGGGCAGAGATTATAATCTCAGAGTTAGGGGAATCACCCATTTAAGACAGGGAGGAGGAGGAATTTCTTCTGTCAGAGGGTAGTGAATCTGTAGAAATTTTGTTACTGCAGAGGGCTGTCAAGAGTGGATTGTTAAGTGCATTCAAGGCTGAGAAAGACAGATTTTTAATAAGCAAGGAGTCAACAGTTAAGGTAGGAAAGCGAAACAGACTCGATCTGCCGAATGGCCTACACCTGGCCTATGAACTCTACGGCTTTTATAATGGAGAGGCATTGGAAGAGGATGATGTCATCACTATTTCACAGGCAGGTGGAGAAGGACAAAGAGGGAAAGTTTACATTTGTTGCAGTCATCTCAGACAGAATTTATGAGTTGGATAACAGTCATTTTGATACTGAGGACTATTAGAGCAATGTTCCATTTAAGCTGTGGCTGTGCAAATTTTGATCCTTTCCAAATTATGAAATGTGTACAAGCATGGCTTGATGGGCTAATTAGATGTCTTTTGTATATTGAATTACCTATATCAGCCAGGGCCATATTCGCAGTGATCCAATTACTCTCCATGACACAGGATCAGACCAGAGAGCTTAGTCACATTGTATGCACAAACCATTATCCAGTGAATTGTAATGGGAAGAGTGTGAGAGACCATGAAGGAGAACAGATTCAGATCAGCTTTGTGTAGAGGATGCAAGCATGCTTTTTATTCAATTACAGAATGTAGGCATGTCTAGCTAGGCCAGCATTTATTGCCAATCTGTAATTGCCCTTGAGAATATGGTGATGAACTGCAGTCTTTGGGGGTATAGGAACACATATTAGGAAGGGAGTTCCAGCATTTTGATCCAGTGACAGTGAATAAACTGTGATATATTTCTAAGTCAAGATGGTGTAGGTTTGGAGGATAACTTGCAAGTGCTAGTGTTTGTAGACATCTGTTGCCCTTGTCCTTCTAGATGATATAGTTTGCAAGATTGGAAGGTACGATTGAAAGGGGCTCAATGAGCTGTTGCAGTACCTCTTGTAGATGTTACATACTGCTTTGACTATTTATCGGTGGTGAAGGGAATGAATATGGAAGTTAGTGGATTGGGTGCCAATCAAATAGAAGCTTTGTTCTGGATGATGTTGAACTTCTTGACTGTTTTTGAAGCTGCACTTATCGAGGCAAGTGGAGAGTAGTTCTTCACAGTCCCAACATGTGCCTTGTAGATGGTGAACAAGCATTAGTGATCCAGGAGATGAGTTACCTGCCAGTGGATTCTCAGCCTCTGTTCTGCTGTGGTGGTGTACAAATTGCTGGTTTAGCTTAGTTTCTGGTCAATCGTAACTCCCAAGATGTTGGTACTCGGGAATGTGAGAGAGAGGTTGAGTGCATTTGAGGATGAGTGATAGGGTAAGTGCTGGTTTGTTGGCACCTGTTGGTCAAATTCCACATTATGTCAGCCTGTCTAATGCTATGTAGCAATTGATATCATGTATACTGTAACACTGCCTCAGTGGCATTGTCAGTCCAGCTGCTTTTGCTGCACACAATTCCTTGGGGTAAGTGCTACCCTGTGCAGATTGACACTGAACTGGGGTTATGACCACAGCAAGCCATATCGTATCAATAAAAACTGGGAAGTGTGTCAGATGTGTGCAGACACAGTTGGTTGAAATCAATGGTAAATGGTGAACAAGTCTTGCCAGTCTGTTACCTTACTAACAGATTTCATATGGGCTTTGGCATCAGACGTTGCTGTAGTGAACATCCGAACAAACAGAGCCCCCTCTCCACAAGATCTGAAATTTCTACGTGAACAAAGGACATGAGTCTCCAAACAACTCAGACTGAAGAATTGTTAACCATCAGTACAGACTTTATATCATGAAGTGTAAGTTAGAAACACAAATTCAATGTTATTTGTTTGCTGTAGCTGATTTAAAGAGAAGGAAAGAAAGATTAAATATTTTGTATCTCCAGTAATGAAAGTCTGAAAGAATGACTCCTTGTTTGTAAAAGTTAATTTTCATAACCAAAGGGGTTATTTGCTAGTAATTAAGATTTACCATTCCAATAAAGTTGGACTTTTTCTGGTGAGTTTAACATAGATGTATCAGGTAAGTACAATAACTGCATGCATTTGTATTTGAATGATATGTCTGTCAGTAAGATATCAGTATAGTGCAACTTCTAAAAGAATAGGGCATGTTGGGCAGCAAGTTCCTTATTTTCACAATTAACTTCACATGTTTAAGTGCTAGAATTTGCCACATGATTGTTACGTAATAACAATTTCCATAGCAAAATTTAGCCATTTGGTTAACAAAGAATAAAATTCCAGTTCAGGCATTGGGCATATTTAATGAGTAGATACCAGGTCATTTCAATATTACAATATTGAGAGAACTCACTGCTGGAATTAGGATGATTGCTCAATCCAGTAAGTCTTAAACAATCCCAGAGAAACTCCACTGCCCAGGCCTGCTGGAGAGAATATAGCCAAATTGGATACAAGTCAATTTACTTTGTTAAACAATTTCATGCATTTTTAACAGGACGTAGGTGTTATTGGCTAGGTCAGCATTTATTCCCATTCTGAATTAGCCTGCCAAAGGTGGTGGGGAGTTGCTTTCTTGAACCATTGCAGTTGTTGGGGTGAAGGGAATACACAGTGCTGTTAAGGAGTGAGTTCCAAGATTTTTACCCAGCGATACCGAAAGAACGATGATATAGTTTCAAATCAGGATGGCATGTGGCTAGGAGGGGAGCTTGCAGATGGTGAAGTTCCCATCTAGCTGGTGTCCTTGTCCTTCTAGATGATAGGGGTTACAGGTTTGGAAGATGTTGTTGAAGGAGTCTTGGTGATTTGCTTCAGTGCATCTTGTAGATGGTACACACCGTTGTCACTATGCACTGGTGGTGATTGGAGTCAACCTGAAGATGATGGATGGTATGCCATAACAATTTCCATAGCAAAATCTGGCCATTTGGTCAACAAAGAATAAAATTCCAGCTCAGGTTTTGGAATAGATAGTTGGTTGCTTTATCTGAATGGTTTTGAAAAGTTTATGGTCAGAACTTTGGTGTGAGCATCCAATTGTAAAAATCATTATGGCTTATTTTGTGTTTTGAAAGTTTTCTTCCTAAAAATAAGAAATCCAGTGAGTAGCAGAAAGAAAAGGAAGATGGAGACGATGACCATGACTGTTAGATATGAGGCATTGGTGAGGGGTTTGGTATAAGGAGGTTCTGCAGGTATCATGTTTGTAAGATTCATCATGTATCCAAGTGTCCAACCAGCATTAGTTCCTTTAATCTGCAAGCAAGAAAAACATCTGATTAACTATGATGTAAACAGACTGTAACACGGAAAGATATAGAAATAAATAAGAACGTTAGGTGGCTACAAAACAGGGCAATTGAAAATAGGTGGAAGCAAGCCAATGTCTGCCTGCAGATGATTTTCTTCCCAAGTAAGTTGATAGAGCAAAGAGGAAAGGGAGAGAGATAGGATGCTGCAGTGAACAAAATAGAGACTCTTGGAGAGGAGATCATGGAGTGAGAGAGATTATTGAGATAGAAAAAGTGAAACAGGATTTAGACACACACAACAGTTGTACTTTTGAGGCTTTGGATTCAGAAGCTGGACACAAATTAAATAACATTTGCAGGTGATAAATTAGGGCAAACAATGGAGTTAGATGTTAGTAAATGAGCTGGACAGAGTAATTCCATTTATCACAAATAGATGTATATTAGAGGGAAAAAATCTGAGTTCTTTGTTTAAAATGATGCTAAAAAAGCCAGAGGGAAGTTGAGAGAGAGAGTGTGTGTGAGAGAGAGAGAGAGAGAAAGAGAGAGAGAGAGAGACTGGGGAGGAATCTCTTGTTATGGAGTTGGGTGTGAGAAAGTGAGAGAGACTTCTGTTCAGTAACAGGTTAGCTCCTCTTATACAAATCACATGGTCCATAACATATGTGCTAAGAGCATAGCAAATCAACAGGCAGAAAGCTCTTGCCCTTAACCTTCCAGCATTGAAGGTTCTAGTACCATATTAAAAAAAAGGTAGCCAGATAACCATTTACTCGCTGTGACCCAGGAACATCCCTGCAGTCAGTGTTGGGCAGGCAATAGAACTGTGATATGATCACCTAGAGGCTCAGCAGATGGAATATATAAACTGAGTGTGTGGCAGCCAGGACCTACTAAGGCAGGGGTACATCAGACAAGGACCCAGAGTTTGAGTGGGCCCATTGTGCTTGGCTTGAGGCTGGGGCCAGGAAGATGGAGAGAGAGAGGGGGAGCGGCTCGGCCAAGGGGAGCCACTGTGAACCTGACGAGTGAGGTAGATAGGGGCGCGGCTGGGGCAGTGGCACTGAGGCCTGTAATTTCTGTCCCTGTCTCATACTGTCATTGTTGTCAGTTCAGGATTGAGTTGATAGTTACTCAGGAGGGCTCGGGGCTGGCAATAATCAAGTGTACTCAGAAAATGATCACATATCCATTGGCATCAAACTCAATTCTTCTGTCTGTAGGAACAAATTGCTCACAATTGCAGGGTCAGATCTCAAACTGGTTGAATATGGGGCTGGGGATGTCACATATACGGATCTACACCTCCGTGGAGGAGCAGGCCGCTGGCCTGGCAAGGGTGGACCATGCCTGGATTGTGCAGATGGAGAGTCTGCACTGTCACAGGAAACCTCCAGTCTGCTGTGATCAGATGCACTGACAGAGTTAAACATTGTATAGATTAGGGAGTACTCATAACCATCAGCTAAATTTGCATCAGGCATAACTCCAACCAGCAAAGAGTTCTTTCCTTCTCTCCACTGATTCAAGCTCCTTAACACCACACTTAATCAACAACAGCCTTGATGTCAAATGCAGTCTCTCTCATCTTAGCTCTGCAATTTAACTTTTTTGTCCATGTTTGAACTAAGGCTGTAATGTGGACAGGGTGGCCCTGGTAGGACCTTCAAAACGGAGGTGGACATAGGAACATTGGGATGAGGAGCAGGAGTAAGCCATTTGGGTCTTCAAGTATGCTTTATCATTCATCTAGATCAAGGCTGATCTTCTAATTCCTCACCTTGCTCGTTTATTATCCTGATAACGTAATATCATTATTATCTAGAAATCTACCAATTCAATTTTTTTATTCACTCTTGGGATTTGGGCATTGCTGGCTGACCAGTGTTTATTGCCCTCCCTAGTTGCACTTGACAATGTGATGGAGAGCTGCTTTCTTGAACCACGCAGTCCATGTGCTGCCTATAAACAATTCCAGGATTTTGATCCAGTAACAGTGAAGGAACAGCAATATATTTTCAAGTCAGGGTAGACAGCAGCTCAGAAGATAACTTGGATGTGGTAATGAGCATCGTAACAAAGGCTATGGCCCTTGGATCCAAGTGGTTTGTCAATCACAAATCCAAAGAACAATATTTTGCCAATGCACAGCAGCAACGATTTAGGCAACATAATGTTAAATAACAAACAGGTCCAAGTATGTCTTCAAACTGTATAGATTTCTGTTCAGAAAAGTGGAATATTGTCAGTTCTGATCAGATTGCACCTTGAGTACTATGTTCAATTCTGGTCATTGAGACATTTAAGTACTGGAATTGATGTAGAGAAAGCCCACTAGAATTGTCCCATTCTTAAAGATTTGAGTGTTCAGGAACAATTGGACATAAAGCTCTTCAGATTTGGAAGGGAACATTGAGCATGTGACTCAGGTTTACTGAAAGGACACTATGCAGCAGGAGGCCAATCAGAGTATTTCAATTGTATGGATAGGTCAAGATATCATAGCATTTAACTGTAGAAGTAAAGGTTAGTAATGATAGGAGGAAAATTTCTTCCAACTTATCAACACATGAAAGGACTCCCAGCATAATGCAACAATAAACACTGGAACATTTAAGAACCAGTGTATGTAGCAAATAGAGACGTTGAAATTATTCTAGCCAGTGGACTGAGGTGGGTTCAATGTCCTCCCTAAACTAAAATTATGACTTAGTGAGGGACGCTCAGTTCTTGGTAAGGGCTAGAAGACAGAGAGGAGAGTGTTGGATGTGCAGAAGATTATGGAGGATGGAAGGTGAAAGCCTAACCTGGAGATGTGGAAAACTCAAGTTTGCAGGAGGCAAAAGCACAACAAAGAGTTTCAGCAGCAGATGAGTGGGCAATATTACAGATGTAGCGGTCAGCAATGGTTTGAGATATTGAGTAAATAATAAACAGGATACAAACCTTTCTCAAAAAGTTGATTGTTTCCCAATTACTGGATGTAAAATTGTAACCATTCTGCAGGAGGCTGAGGATATATTGTCCGGCGAAGCAGTTTTCACTCAGATATTTTTCATGAATCGAGAATGAATTTCTAACCTATTGGGAATAAATTAATACCATGAAAAGAAACCAAATATGCAACTCCTGTGATCAATCCACGTATTTGTTTCTCTTATCCTACAACACGAGGTGTGCAGAAATTAGATTGACGGTCAAACACTATTGTAAATTGGGGATCTTGTATTTACAGTAGCATCAAGCAACACTAACAGAACTAACCCTAAAATCAAGCTACCATTTAGCTGATTTGGAAAATGCATTTGTAAATAGTTTACTGGCTGGTGTGCTGTCATCATATGACCTCTATCTCTGCTGTAAGTATGTTTCATTTTCATTGGGTGCAGGCATTGAAACACTTCTCTTGAAATAGCATCAGAAAACTCCAACTGAAATTGTATTGATTTTTAGAGCTGAGAGAGAGCCGGTTCCTTCTCTTTTTTAAAAAAATACAAAGAATTAAAATCACACTGCACCTATGAAGTGCTGGGAGAGAATGGGTGTGAATTGTCCATTCCCTGATGCTATAGAGGATGAAAGGAATGAGACAGAGCTGGAATTTCAAGACAGTGACTTGAAAATCACAGCATAGTTGAGATTATATGATGGAATGATACTTTTCCCAAGAGGACAAGTGAAGCCGAAAGCTCAATCCATAGAGAGTAGACATTAGGCAAAATCTTCTCTCAGCTGAAGCAAGTCTAAAACTTCCTAAGACTTGTAACCCCAACACTTGCCAGAAGTGATTTCAGCATTTTGCAGACCACAAAGCAAGACTGCTGAACAGACCCTAAATGATTACAAAGATGTTTTCATATGCACAGAATAAGGGGTCACACATTGAAGACAGGAAGGAGGAGGAATTTCTTCTCAGAGCGTAGTGAGAATTTGTGAAATTCTTTATCGCAGACAGCTAGAGGCTGAGTTCTTAAGTATGTACCAGGCTGATAGACTTTTGTTTAAATTGGTAAGGGAAGTGATAGTTATAGGGAAAAGGCAGGAAAGTGGAGCAGAGGGTTAACAGATCAGCCATGATCTCATTGAATGGTAGAACGGACTGGATGGACTGAATGGCCTACTTCTGTTCATATGTCTTATGATCATAGAAGGTCATAGATATCTGACTGGTGAGTATCATCTTGATGTGGATGAGAGACAGACTAATGCAACATCTGCCAAGTAGAGTTCCATATACCCTCAGTCCAGCCTGAAAGACAAGATAGAAGAGAAAGAAAAACAAGGGAGTGATCAAGAAAGTAACAATCCTATAGACTGGATTAGTAGCATGACAGCAGTGAAAAAAAACAGGAAGAACGAGAGTGTACACAGATCCAAAGTACCTCAATAAAGTTTTGAATAGGCTTCATAACCGCACTCCAACAATAAAGAAATTTTGCAACAATTTGCCAAGGGAAAGATCTTTACTTCACTCAATGTGAAGGATGGTTACTGGCAAGTGAAGCTGAATGAAAGCAGCACTTTTCATAGAATCTACCTGCATTCTGGTCTCCATTCAAGAGATACAGCTCTTGATGCTCATTTGGCATTTCCACCAGTCCAAGAGAGTATCGATACAGACAGCACATGATAAATCAGTGAGATTCCCAGAGTGGAAGCTATTGTGGATGATCAATAAGATTACACATATGATAGAAGTGGCCATCACAGCCCACAGATCTAGTGTGCCTCCTTGACGGAGCTCACCAGAATACCTGAAGCTGAATTAAAAAAAGATGTAATTAAAATGAAAGTTTAAGTACATGGGTTACGTACTAACTGCAAAAGTATTTTGTCTAGACTGAGATGGTGAGATGGTGAGAGCTGGAACAAACATTCAGCAATCAGCAGGTATGAAAGCATTTTTTGGATTTGTGAACTATTTGGCAAAGTAATTGCCTAATTTGTCAGCAGAATGTGAAAATCTTTGCAAGTTCACCTTAAGGATATTTAGGTTATTAGGGCACAGAAGAAGATGCTGCTTTCGGTCTAACCAAACAACTAATGATAACTCCAGTGCTGAGATACTCGGATGACAATGAAGGCTCATTGTAGTGTTCTGCCAATGAAACAGGACTAGGAGCAACCCTTATGCAGCAAAGACAACCAGTTGGATTTGTATCTAGGGTATCAATGTGAACAGAATGATGCTAAACTCAGACCAAGAAAGTGTGTAGTTCTTGTCTTTGGTTGCGAGTATTTTAATCAATACCTGTTTGGGAGAGACATAAACCACTTCAAAGCATCTTCCTTCTGTTTTTATCTGCTCCAAAGCATCTACAAATAATGTTACCTTGTTTGCAGAGATATAATTTGGATATGACATAATAGCATGGGAAACAAATGTACATTGATAATGTACTGTCAAGAGCACACTTCTGAGAAGACAGTTGAAGATGCTAAGACAGAGAGTGTGAAATCTTCCAATTTGATTGAGAAGTAACAGCTTGACTTGTTCTGGAAGTTGTCAACTCAACAGATGTTGAATTTGAAGGAGCAGCATCTTGCCGAAATCAAGCAAACTAAATAACAAGATGCAGCTCTCCAAGTGCTGCAAGATGTAGTGAACGAGACCTGCAAAGCAAAACACGTTGCTCTCAGAGAGCAATGGGCATACAAAGATGAAGGGATAGCCCAAGAGAGAATCTTGTACAAATAAAATAATGTCTTTATGTCTTACAAGATGAGAAAAGAAATGCTGAAGCATATCCATGCAACCACCATGGAATTGCTTCTAGTCTGAGGAAGGCAAGAGGAGTCCTCTACTGACAAAACATGAGCAATGAGATTCAGGACCAAAATCAGCCAGTGCAGAGCTTGTAATGATTATCAAGCTAAACAAGATAAAGAGCTACTTACAACATGTGACATCCAAGACGGATTACGGATGAAGCCTGGAGCAGATGTGTTCGCTTTCATAGGAACTGATTATCTTGTCAATGATTGACATGTTAACTATTGTTCTGATGACTGTGAGTTAGACCAGCTGACATCAGTGACCACCAGAGAGACTGTAAAATGACTGAAAGCATGCTTTTGACATTATAGCATTCCCTGACGAGTGACTCAGGCCCTCAATTCATTTGTGAAGAACGGTTGGGATATTCAACACCATGCATTATCTCCACACTATCCCTAGTCAAATTAAAAGACTGAAACAACAGTGAAAATCACTAAAACCAGAAGAATTAAATCAAGGTAAAATGACAGAAAGCCAAATTTCACTTTCATAAATCTACCAAATCATTGATAAAACTGAGCATTGGAGAGCCAGAGTGTGAATGTTCAACACTCTCAACAAGAATAAGCCCACATGGCAACTTGGGATCTGTGCAGACTAACTGTCATCTCAACCATACACAATGAATGTGAATTACAAATATAGCATCAGAACTGCAGACATAAGTACAAATATAGAAGCTGATCCTTCCCATCAGCAACTGATCAGGAAGACGTCATCCCACCATCTACCCCAAGTAGGTAACAATCATCAGTTCCAGAGGTTGGCTGTTCCTCAACAAAGGAAATAGCTCAGCAACAACAGATACTGTTGTATTATATAGAACGTTCCAGATCAGACAGGCCTGTACCTTTAAGACAGTTATATGGCATCATGACATGTGATGTTCTGGTATAAAGGTACCCGTTTCCCCTGCAGTCACTCTGTGTCATTGAATCAGTGTAGAGTCTTCAGTCAGTCAGCTGTGTATGCAATGTACAATTACATTATTAAACACAGAATACAGACTGCAAGCAACCTATACTATTATAGGCATGTAAATAGTTAGTGTTATAAATAAACTTCAAGACATCTGTCTCAACAAGAACCTGACCTGCTGTGGTATATGCTACATGAGCAAACATATAGAAAAACCACAAAGTGAGACTATTACCACATAATGACACTGCCTTGAGAAGAAACTTAATCCTAGGAACAAGCAGATCCCAGAAAAACCACCAACAACACGTACGTGTATCATTCGTAGACATGCACAATTTAAGGATGGTGTGTGCAATTAACCTTCAAAGACTTCCAAAAATGGGACTGGCTAGAATGAAGACAGTTTGTTAATGGATTTTCTTTGTGAACTATACAGAGTGGGTAACTTGTGGCTGCAAAGTTATAGTGCATGCAGATTTTTAAAATGAAAACTGACAAGTTTGGAGAAATGCATTTATACATAGTGTACTGGCTGGCTTGCTGTAGTCACGTGACCTCTTCCTCTGCTGAGTGATTTCATTTGAGTTGGGGCACCTATTAAACATTACTTCAAACACTCCTACTGATAAAATAAACAAAAACTAAGAAAATAAGGTGAGGAATGAAAGAACCTGGAGGGAAGGCTAAAAATATCGGAAGGTAAAAAGGTATGGAGAAATATTGGCCTCTTTGGCATCAGTGAGTTCATGGCTGTGGCTTTCTGCTCTTGTATTTGCTTTCCTGATTGGAGATTCAACTTTGGCCAGGGAAGGAACAGTATTGGACCGGATCATTTACTTTCTCATGGTGACATTCATTAGTCATAAAGATTTAGTCCCTCAGCTCTGTGAAAATTTGTAACTGGTTCTTCAGAAATCAAGATGCTGGCTGTTGTATGATGCCACTCTCAGGGTTGTGACTGTGTACCCGGATGTAACTCTGTCAGCTCAGTCCAAAGGCAAATGGCAAATGAAGTGGACTCCTTGCTGAATTCTACCTTGTACAGATGCCTTCTACCTATTAATCCCTATGCACTGAGAGTTCCAATTGGTACATGCCTGAGATTCTGCAACAAAATAGGTGTCTCTTGCTGTAGTAAACTCCAGCACTGGTATGGGCCAACCAGCACTGTGTCAGTCCAAGGCCCTTACTGCATCCCTGGATTCAGAGGCAGGGACAGCTCGTTTTGCAGAAGCTTCACACTAGGCCAAAGAGCCCTCACCTACCTCAGCCCATGGCTTCAAACAGAACTCCTCCACCGTATGCTTTACTGTGGACAAATCATAAGGCTTTTCATTTGTAAGATTAAAAAAATCCATCACAAAATAATACGCAGAGAATGCCTGTGGAAATAGAAGGAGAAATGGAATGAGGAAAATACATTTTAACCAGTCAGCATTTGTCAACCACAAATGTCCCATAAACCTTGATTATTCACCAGAATATTGTTTAGTTTTTATAGAGATGTTTGATTTTCTCCCGTTACCCTGCAAAACACTGATAGGAAATTCCAGAATATAGTCATAGGGACCAGTGCTATTTAATACCTCATTTAATCTTACAGCATAGAAGGAGGTCATTCAGGCAAGGCAAATTCAACAATGGATTAGCTCTGACTGGAGAAATTGGAAAAAAAAATGCAGTGGAGTGCTATGATTTCAGAAGAGTAGTTTTAAAACTGAAAGGAATGATCTACAAGATAGTTTAGAGCAGTCTTGTTATGTCATGCAGAAACTTGGAGCAACATGAGCGTGAGAGAAAAGCAACAACATGACATTGAGGAGATATGGATACTGAGAATGTATGTGTAGAGTAACAGGAAAGGACAAAAATCGGGAACCAGTACACGGTAGGGTCCGTGAAAATCATAGGAGCATCAAAGAAAATAGCTTAAAAGGGTTTGCAATGGTCTGGTCTGTTATTATAGCAAATTGTTGAGCAGATAATTGGGGTTAATTGATTAATTAAGTAGATTTAAAGGAGTACACTTTTGACAAGCTCGCAATGAGCAGCAACAAACACATAGGCCTCGACCCCATATTCACTCCACAGCAAAGGAAAACCGGAAGTGAGATAATCCAGCTCAACGGACTCCAGAGTTCAAATAACAGGCAGGAAAACACAACAGCGCTTCATTGGAGGCTGCACTGACGATGTTACCCAGCAGGATAATGAAACATCTGCGGAAAAACAACAAACCAGCTCGGCGAGCCAACCAACCACAACATCCACAACCTGAGCTACAAATCTACTCTAAAATCTTAGAAGCTTTGCATGTAAACTGGTTAGTAATGGAAACATGGGTGGTTTAATGGTGTTGGATAAAGTTCGAAAGTAATGCAGGTGATTAGGTGATTGGAAAAAACTGTGTGAAAGCACTTCCCTTGTGGCACAGTGGTAGTGTCCCCACCTCTGAACTGAAGGCCTGGGTTCTCGTCCCACCTCCTTGAGAGGTGTATAATAACATTTCTGAACAGATTGATTAGAAAAAATGGTTCAATTTAAAAATAAATAAGAAGGGGAACAGATTGGACTGGTGTATGGGGCTGTAAGACTGAGTATTTAAAAAACTCTATCCACAAAGAACAGTGTCTTGGTTCTTGTCTCATCCATTGGCCTGGACAGATTGCCATGGTTACAGCTGCAGACTGAAAAAGAGGAAATATGGTGACATAAATGATGGAGCCAAAGTTGCCACGAAGATGAAGAGGATGGTATAAAGCCAAGTGGAAAGATGTGGTACTGAGAAATTGTATTGTGATTGGAAGAGGAATATGCAGATTGAGAGGAGGAAATGCAGCAGGTTGATCAACCAGCATTGTGGTGACCCCAAGTGAAATGAGAGAAGGAGAAGGAAAATGAAGAAGCCCATTTAGCTCATCGCGACTGTGATAGCTCTGACAGTCACTTTCAATTAATCCCAATTTCACTTACCCCATCCTTTCCCCACAGATGTTTTTCTTTAAGAATTTATTCAATTTCCTTCTGAAAGTTACTATTTAATCTGCTTCTTACAATTTAATCTGCCTTTTCAGGTAGTGATTTCCAGGCTGAAACAATTTGATCCATAATGAACATTCTTCCTCTGGCTCTTTTGCTAATTTCCTGTGTCATCAGGTTACTGATGCTTTTGTCAACTGAAATAATTTCTCCTTATTTAGTCGATATAAAACCTTCCTAATTATAAACACTCCATTAAATCTTCCCTTAACAAGTTCTCCTGTCAGGAAAATATCCAGTTTCTCCATATAACTAAGTTCCCATCTCTGGTGCCATTCTGATAAATTTCCTCTGTACTTTCTTTAAGTCCTTGACAATCTTTCTAAAGTGTGGGTAGAAACATTGAGCACAATACTCCAACTAGGTCCAACCAGTGCTCCACAAAGTGTCAGCATCACTTCCTGGATTTTGTACTGTATGCCACTATTTATGGTGAACTGAGGGAACAGTGTGAAGGAACCTGTTTCACAATTGTTTTGTTCAGAATGAGAGTTTCATGCAATATGTTTAATACTTACTCCAAATTTCCCATGGACCTTGGGCTGGTAAACCCCATTAAATGAACAGCTGCTCCAGGTACAAACACTGAAATTAAAGATCCTTCTGATGTAGTGATTGCATTGGTCAGGGATCCCTGTCCCATTGACCCTCACTATTTGGTGAATTCTACTGTGCTGTACAGATGTGCATGGACTGTCAAAGAATGCAGTCACATTGATTGTTCTTGTGTACCCTTTGTTAAAACAGGGGTTCAAAATGGTTCCATCATCAATCACCTGAAAAGAAACAAGAAGTCAATTTATTCAAGATAGCTATTACTTAACCTGAATACAGAAAGCAAGCTAAATTTTGTGTTGATGTTTGTAAGGCCCGTACTAGCACGCATATAATCTGTTCAGGAGCTGGACCGTTGAAAAGCCACTGGCAGGATGAATTTGAGATTAATTCTAAAGATCTTACCCTGCCACCTCACGGTGAACCACTGGCAAAGTGGTGTTGTCACTGGACTCATAACCCTGAGATCCAAGTTAATGTTCAAATTCTACCTTGGTAGGTGGTAAAATGTGAATGAAATTAATAAACCTAGAATTAAAAAAGCTGGTGTAGTGGCAATCACATAAGCACTGTCAATTGCAATAAAAATCAATCTGGTTCACTAATGTCCTTTAGGGAAGGAAAACTATTGCCCTTACCTGGCCTACATGTGATTCCAGATCCACAGCAATGTGGTTGACTCTGAATTTCCCTCTGCATTGCAAAAAACTAGTATCCAAGTTTAGGAGGTAACAGGGAAGGCAAATGGAATGTTGGCTTTTATTTCAAAGGGAATGGAATATAAAAACATGGAGGTCTTGCTGAAAGTATACAAAGAATGGGTCAGATCACGTTTGGAATATTGTGAACAGTTTTGGTCCCCTTATTGAAGGAAATATATACTTCCATTGGAGGCAGCCCAGAGAAGGTTCAGTTGGTTGATCCTGGGCATGGGGGGATTTTCTTATGAGGAGAAGTTGAGTAGGTTGGGGCTAAGAGAATGAGAGGCAACCTAATTGAAACATTCAAGATATTTAGGGAACTTGACAGTAGATGGGAAAAGGTTATTTCCCCTTGTGATGGACCAGAGGGCATAATCTCAGAGTTGCCCACTGAAAACAGATGAAGAGGACTTTCTTCTTTCAGAGGGTACTGAATGTGTGAAATTCTTTATTGCAAAGGGCTGTCAAGATTGGGTCAGTAAGTGTATTCAAGACTGAGATAGACCGATTTTTAATCAGTAAAGGAATCAAGGGTTTTGTTGAAAAGACAGGAAAGTGGAGTGGAAGATTATCAGACCAGCAACGATCTCATTGAATGGTGGGTCGGATTCAATATGCTGAATGGCTTACTACTATTCCTATGGTCTCGTGGTCCCTGAAATGGCCCAAGCAAGCCACTTAGTTCAAGGACATTTTGGGATGGGGGACTTTTGCTGACCTTACCAGCAACTCCAACAACCCTTCAAAGAATATAGAGAAAGAAGCTGTGCAGATTGTAATCCTCGTCCAAGCTGCTTTAGAAAAAAACATATTCAGAAAGAGTCAAATTTAAAACAGCAGCATTGGGGTAGGTTTTAAGAATATTCTACTTATAAACAGCTGCAGCCTGTGTACGAGGTTATCATGGATTTAAATAATTAAGTTGATACACAAGCATGAAAACCGTGGTTTGTATGCCTCCAGAGGATCTGGTATATGCTGACATTTCCTCAAACTGGATAGGCCACATTCAACAATAATTTAATCTTATGATCCCCTCCAATGTGATAAAACATGTGAAGACATTTCACAGAACATGATCAGACATTTGAGCTAAAGAATGAGATAATAGGAACAGTGACCAAAAACTTGGCCAAAGAGGTAGATTTTTAGGATTGTTTTAAACAAAGAGGGATTAGAAATACAGCAATGCTAAGGAGTAGGAACATAAGAACAGGAGAAGGCCATTCAGTCCAACAAGCCTGCTCTACCATTCAAAACAACTATGGCTGATCGAACACTTCAATGCCTTTTATCTACTCCAGCTCCATAACCCTGTATGTCACTGGTAATCAGAAATCTATAAATCTCGATCTTAAACATACTAGAAAAGATGGACCTTCCACAGCCTTCTGTGTTAGAGAATTTCACAGGGTCACAATCCTTTGAATAAAAAAATTCTTCTCATCTCAGACCTAAGTGGCATTCCTTTTAGGCACCATTATTCTGAAATAAATATACTCAAAGCTCAGAACTTGACAGAATACAGACACAGTTTGTTCAATCTCTCTTCATAGGCTAGTCCTGCCATCCTTGGAGCATGTTTGAATGGATGCTGACCTTGGCAATTCCATTCATATAAACACGTAGCAGCGTGGGTTATTAAGCCCCTTGAGCATGCTCCACTATTCAATAATACGATTGTGGTTGATCTGATTGTTACCTCAAATCCACATTTCCACCTACCCCAATAAACCTTCAACACTTCGCTTAACAAGACTCTATTCACCTGTGTCTTAAAAATATTCAAAAACTCTGCTTCCACTACCTTTTCAGAAAGAGAGTTCCAAAGACTCACAACGCTCTGTGTGAAACGATTTTGCTCCATTTTTGTTTTAAATGGTGACTCCTGATTTTTAAACAGTGACATCCTGGTTCTAGATTCTCTGAAGAGAAAACAACCTCTCCACACTGACGTTTATGAAGCTTCCTCAGGATCCTGTTTGTTTTGATGATGTCACTTCTAACTCTTCTGTACTCCAGCAGATATAAGCCCGGCCTGTCCAACCTCTCCTTCTAAGACAATGCATCCATTCCAGGAATTAGTCTAGTAAACCTTCTCTGAACTGCCTTCAACTCATTTATATCATTCCTTAAATAAGGAGGTCAATACCATACATGGCACCCCTGATGTGGCATCACAAATGCCTTGCATGATTGAAGATTAAGATATGGTTACCAATGGTGGGCTGAAAGCAGTTGAGAATGCATAAGACAACAGAATAGGAGGAACACAGAGTTCTTGGAAGCTTCTTGGAAGGTTGTTGGGCTGATGACAGGAGGTCGATGAAAATTAGATATACTTCTGGACCTATTCTGCTTCTGCTCCCCACAGTCTTATCCCCTTGTCCATTTTGCAACAAATGATAGAGTGTAATATATAACTGTAATGAAAACCCAACAGAACAGCAGTTGCCAAAAGCTTTGAGGTACTCTGAGCATATTTTGTTGCGAATATTTTGCTATCTAGGGAAAGGCTCAGAGTCATACAGTTCATGAAATGACTTTCTATGAATATATAATTATCATTTTGCACAAAAGATGGAACATACCAACAGTAATCAGCTTGAGACAGATCAAAAAGGTGTTACAAAGAAAATTCAGGAGATGGTCAACATGCCAAAAGAAGTTAGGGCTAAAGTTTGAAGAGGAATCAGACCAGGATAGTGTGGTCAAGAAGAGAAGATCAAAGGAATAAGTTCTTCCTCATTCTCTCCTGATCATTTTCAAGATTATTTTCCAGCATTAAAAGGAACTTGAACCATCCAAATCTTGATCTTCATGCCAAATATCAATCAGAACTAAACTTTATTTTCTATGTTCCTGACAAAAGCCTGCATGATTCTATTCAGGTCCTCAGCGTCTTTAACAGACATTTGTCTTTCAATCATCTTACTGGAAGTTAGATTTAGGAAGTAGTCTGTTTTAGTCTGTTTCTGGTTGCTTCCAGACTGGCTCAACTATTGAATTGTATCCATTTTCTGGCTAAATTTCACATTCAAATTAAAAATATCCTGCAGTGTTCATTTTTTTATTGTTAAGTCCTCATTCATGGATATTAAAAAGGAATTGAATATATATTTGAAATGGAAATTTTGCAAGTCTTTTGGGAAAAGAACAGTAGAGGGGAACTAATTGGATAGCTCTTTCAGAGAGCCAGCACTGTCATAATGGGCTAAATAGCCTTCCTTTATGTTGTATGTTTCCATGATTCGAGACCAGGAACTCCTAGTTTAAAAGTCCCCACTCCTGGACCCGCACGAGCTCATCATTGTCAATTGTAAAGAAGTATAAAAGTCATTTTCTGCAGTTTTGATTGTAAATATAAATGGAAAAATTGTTTTAAGATCAAGGATTGTGAATGGAAATGCCGTACTTTTAAGAACAAGTTGCTGAAACTCATTTTGTGTGGCGCATACACTACTGTTTTATTTAAGCACTCAGGGAAGCTGTTTATGGATGGCCTGGCACCAGCAAGGATACTTAGTTTAATCAATGCATTCAGACATTCTGTGATACACATCTAGGATTTGAATCCAGGTCTCCTGACTAAGAGGCAGGGACACTGCCACTCTGCCATAAGAGCCTTTCATCACAGTTTGCATGTAGAATGAATCAATAGTTCTTACCAAGTACAGGAATCTGGTGGGCATTTTCTGTTAAATTCATTCTAACAGACATGTAAATCAGTGACTTTGCATGAGGTAATTAAATCATTAACTTTTGTGGTGAACTCAAAGTAGTGGAGCTTGAGAATCAGCACTTTTCCAAGTAACAAGAGAATGAGAACTCGTGCTGCATTATTTTGAAATACTGCAGTGACAACAATGATTTCAGTGTGGCATTAATCAATGATAAAGACGGGTTCTGTACTGCAATAAGAATAGGCAGTGGAAAGTGCAAATTTCCTGCAGGTGGCAGCATCGATCCTGACAGTCTTAAGTTAACTTACAAAAATTTGTTAACTCGATTTGGCAAGTTAGTAGAAGTGAATCTGCCTGCTTAAGCTAAGAAGACAGATAGAATTGAAGTACTTACACAGTGTTTGGTTTATAGAAATGCAAGACCATGTACTCCAGGTAGTGAAACATTAGAATCAGGTAATATTGTATTACAATTAAAGCAACTTGAACTAAAAAAGCTGGAGATGGAATTCCAAAGAGCAGAAAAAGACAAAACAAGAGCAGAATTGACAAGGAAAACAAGATAGAACTAAAAAGACAGGAAATGTAAATAATAACATTAAAATTGGAGTGGCGAAGGGAAAGAAATTGAAGATGAGAGCAAGAAAAAGGGAGAACATGAATATCAGTTTAAAATGATGTCTGTTTAAAAAAAATGATAAGAGATACCAATGCACATTTTGATTAGGAAAATCCAGTTCATAATCTAAATTCCAGTAATCAAGTCAGCTTAATCTTCGTTGCACCATCTATGGCAATAATATCTTTCCTGAGATAAGGTGACCACTGCACACATTA